GGCGGAAGGGGGTGCTCATAGCTGACCTTCCCCGATCGTACCCAAGCTCCCGAGCCGAGACAACTCCGGTGATGACGGACATGTGGCCTTCGGCACCGAGTCAGGGTTTCCTAAATTTCCCCATTTTAAAAATATTTAGGTGTCGACTCTGTATCTGGCAAAGCAGTCCATGTTTGGCACTACTTTTTCAAAAATCTATTTCTCAAAACGATTTGCCAGATTTGGACTCTTTGGTTCAGATTAAGAACCGCGACAACAAAATTGAGTCCGAACTGTAGCGAGGCCCCTTCGCGGACTTGTTACAATATGTTTAGGTGTGATTTTGGGTGTTTCTTTTCTTCAAACAAACTAATCAACCAAACTAGAATTGGAGTGCTTACTATTACTAATTGTTGTTCTTTTTTCCTTTTCTCCTGGTACCACCCCTGGAAGGTTGTCATAAAGCTCATAATTAGAGAATGTGATGCTTATGGAAACCTGTAAATTTTGTTGTTGCAGTTATATGTGGATACCTTGGTGAAGAAAGCATATGATAACTGGAACCATGTTGTCATATATGATGGCAAGTCACTTTTGAGCTTCAAACAAAGTAAGAGGCCAGGCGCTTCTCGAAATGAATTTCCAATGGGCCCAGTCGATTATCCTACTTCTTTTGAAAATCAACTTCCCCAACAACGGTAAGCAGGCTCAGTTCCTCCTGAGCAGTCGTCAATGGATTCAAGTCTACTAATTGGAGGTAGGCATGGCCTCTTTTTCTTTCTTTTTGGATTGGTTACGAATTGCTCCCCCCGCCTCCCAAAAGGAAAGGGAAAAAAAGGAAAGAAAACGACTTTTTTCTTAGGCTGTTCATGGGTAGGTGGTAGCAAGCCCATTGGATAAATGTGTCGAACTGTTGTATGGCATTTGAAGCTTAAACAGTTTGGCTGGTTGCACTGGAAAAATCTGAAACCACTTGCTTATTAGTCCGTCTACCCATGTACCTAAAATCAATTGTTGAAATCCTCAATTTTCTCTTGTGCGTTTTGCTGTTCCTCTTGAAATGGATACCTCCACAATATTCTCAAATATTTTAATTCTATTATGATGTCAGTAGACTTGTGAAAATGATAATGTCCAATCCAAGAAATTGGAATCCTTGCCATGATTTATATAGGAAAAAAATGTGCTGTATGGACTTTAACAATTTGCTGCTAAACAACCCGTAATTTACCTCTGCTAAGTAGTTAAAACCATATTGTGGTGTTGAGGCTTAACTTTAGTCGACAAGTTCTTATGGTGCTGCAACTTTGCTCCAGTCTGGCACTCTTAAAATTTGTCAAACTTTAGAGTTGAAAATCATTTGACGAATAGGGGCAATCTTGACAACATCCAACTAAAGATAGGAACGAAATTGTTAAAATGTACAAATTAGTACCCATCTGATTTTTTGAGAATTGGTGAACTTGGTAAAGGGAATTATTTGTCCAATTTATTGACAATATGGATAGGAAGATAGGAAGATAGGAGTTATTGACAATATGGAGTTATTGACAATATGTCCAATTATTTGTCCAACTAAAGATAGGAAGATAGGAGTTATTGACAATATAGATCAATTTCAGTTGCTGTGTTTGGTTTCTGCTGTGTGGCACTATATTGGATCTGGAATGGTGGCTCATCCAATTTATTCTATAGACATAAGAATGCTATTGTTTTATTTACAATTTGATAACGGTAGTCATTTTAATTTGCTAATGTGACCTTTGTTTTTCATGGACATTTTTCATTATTTGTCCAATTTTAACTGACATTATTTCTCTTTTTCTTTGGTACAGATGGATGAACTCCTGCACAAAGCTAAATTATACAGGACAAATTGGCACTTTTTGAGTTTTTGGAAGGATTATATGTTTTTGTATAGATGTATATAGAAAATATTAGGTAGACTAGTAGTTATATTTTTGGATACACTACTAGTTATATTTTTGGATAGGTGTGTATAGAAAACATTTGGTAGACTACTAGTTATATTTTTGGGTTGATGTACATGGATAAAAATTTAAAACATAATAACAAGTACTTGTTATGTGTTAAATTTTTATGCTAGATGAAATATGTAGTTTCGAATTATTGTGGATGTAAACTTATAATAGTTGTTGACTTTAATTAAACAGGTTCAGAAATGGTTGATATATATATTTTGTTGAATGTTGATGATTCAATTTATTTGTTGGTTTGAATGATTTCTTCTTTTTACAGATTATATTGAATAAATTGGATGAATTATTATAAATTACAGGTTTATTTTGTTGGATATTGGCGACAAAAATTTGGTTTTGTTTTTATAGTTTTGGCGACCAATTGATTGGTCGCGAAATGTCACAATTGGCGACCAAAAAAATTTTGGTCGCAGAATGTCACAATTGGCGACCAATTGATTAGTCGCGAAATGTCACAATTGGCGACCAAAAAATATTTTGGTCGCAGAATGTCACAATTGGCGACCATAATTTCTGGTCACGAAATGTCACAATTGGCAACCAAACAAATTTTCGTCGCAGAATGTCACAATTGGCGACCAATTGATTAGTCGCGAAATGTCACAATTGGCGACCAAACAAATTTTGGTCGCAAAATGTCACAATTGGCGACCAAATTTTTTGGTCACGAAATGTCACAATAGGCGACCAAAAATATATTGGTCGCAGAATGTTACAATTGGCAACCAAATTTTTTGGTCACGAAATGTTACAATTCGCGACCAAACAAATTTTCGTCGCGGAATGTCATGATTGGCGACCAAAATTTTTGGTCGTTGAATGTGATAATTGGCGACCAAACTTTTTGGTCGGGAAAATATTACTTTCGCGACCAAAGTGTTTTGGCGACAAAATAAATTAGTCGCGATAATTAAATATTTAGCGACCAAAAATTTAGTCGCGAAATCCAACTTTTGCCGACCAACCACAATTTTGGTTGCGAATTACTTTTGCCGACCCTCAATTGGCGACCAAAGTAGCGACCAAAAAAATTGGTCGCGGATAACTTTTGCCGACCAAAAATTGACTTTTAGCGACCAATTTTTTTGTTGCCAAAAGTGTTAATTCTTGTAGTGTGTTTTGTGTTTCATTTTTTGTTCTTTTTCATTTCTAAGTACTCTTAGGCATATGTTAAGCATTGTAAATGAGTTAAAAGAATAAGAAAGAAGCCTAAGAGGGATGTATGAATTAAGAACGGATTGAATCGTTTCTGACCCATTATGTTCATGAAATGTGTAGGGTCAAGCACAAGGGCAAATCCACCGGCAGATCACTGTGAGTAATATCTTAGTAAAGATATTTTAAAGTATATTATTTGTCCAATTACTTTCTCCTATTTGAGTTCATATGTTTGTTTGAATTGAGGACAAATATTTGTTATACCATACGATTAGGCTAAAGGCCGTTTGTCATAATTGGTTGGGCGAAGGCCGTCGGATATGAATGATTGGGCCAAAGGCCGTCAGATATGAATGATTGGGCCAAAGAGTGTCTGAAATGAATGATTGGGCCAAAGGTCGTTTGACATGAATGAATGGGCCGAAGGCTGTCGGGCATGAATACTTGGACTAAAGGCCGTCGGACATGAGTAATTGGGCCAAAGGCCGTCGGACATGAACTGTTGGGCCAAAGGCCGTTTGACATGAATGAATTAGGCCTGAGGCCGTTTGATATGTTTAGATCGCTAGTCATTTGATATATTATATAGAAATATGAATTGGGTCCAAGGCTGCCTAATGTATTTTGTTCTAAATACTGCTCATGTACCTTCTCCGCTTGATATTATCCACTGGGCTTTCGCTCATTCTCATTCATGTGATTGTAGGTGAGCCAAGCAATATCCAAACCCAGCCCCAGTGAAGCAGGTGTGAAATAGTCAAGTTTTGGGGAGTCAGCCTATACGTCTCACGCACGAGACTTGTTTTGGCCCTTTTGTTCTTTTGACATATTTTTGTTATGTTGGCGAGGACTTTGGATTACGGTTGTATATAAGCTTTTGATTGGCTGACCATGACTTGAATGATCCTGTTATGTAAAGTTACATGTTAACTCTCTTTGATGTGGGTTGTTAACGAATATACGTGAAATGTTATAATGTGCCATGTAAGCACAGCTCTATGGACAAAAGGTTTAAGTTACTTCCGTTTGGCCTCTTAACTCTGTTGAAATATATCTAATTTGGTCTGAGGCCATAGGTAATCTCTTGGTTACTGGCCGGTTATGACCTTAACCCATGGGGGCGGGTTTGGGTCATGACAAAATCTGTCTTAAGGATAGAGTGTCACACACTCGACTTAATCTTTTAAATATTTTTTCGGTTTGGTAAAATAAATTTTATAAGTAATTTATTTTTATTTATTTGATTTGTTTCAAATTATTTATTTCACACAGAAGATTGTTCCAATAAGAAGAACCAATCTTTGGTTTAATTAGTTATATAGTATCATTTATAATATGAGATTATGAGTTTAAATTCTATGAAAAGAAATTTGATACATTTTATGGTGTTTATTTAACTTTTAATATGAGAGTTATGTACAATTGTTAATTTCTTTCTCAATTTACACTAGTGGTAACTATTGGACAATAAAAACACACTATCAAAATTTGAGTATACAGTCAAAAGACCACATATAGATTTATCTATGATACATGCAACAAACTTCTTCCTGTTCTTGTTTTATCTATGAATAATATGCATAATAATATCTCATATCACAAATAAAATGTTAATATAAGCATTATTAATAGATTAAATTCTCTTTTGTTTGTCTGGATCACTATTATTGGATGTGTTCCAACCAAATTACTCACTAGAGGCTTAAAATAAAAAAAAATAAAAAAAAAGGAAAGAAATAAATAAATAAAAGAAAGTTGCCAACTCTTTTGTTTTTCACCCCGAAACTCTTGCGGCATCCTTCATTTATATATATACAATTTCTTACAATCTAAACATTTCATATGCCACTTCTTTGAGCTTTTTCAACAATTTATTTTCCCTTCTTTAATTTCTATTATCATCCTCCATCTGCAATGGGTTGCGGCATGTCAAAGTACGGCCTAGTTGATGTAGGCACATGTGGCTTCCTCTCTAAAAGAAATTTCGAGGAATTGCATATGGATGGCACCGCTTCCACCAAACTACTTATAAAGGAAGATGTTGAATATGATGACATCGATTTCAATCATAGTTGTAATAGCCTTTCTTCACCAACAAACAATGCTAATATTACTGTAAAAGAAACCACGACAACAACTGGTGGTAATAATAGCTCAATGAACAAATTTGGTGAGGGTGAGAAGGAAACAGAGGTGGATCAAGATGAGAAGGGTGGTAACAAGAATAACAAAGAAGAAATCAAAGAAGAAGAAGAAGATGAACGAGGAAGAAAAATTTCTGATTTTGATGGTTCGTTAATTGGTTCTCCAAGTTTCAGGGAGTATTGCACCAATGTCGCTAAAGATGACTTTAAGGATGATGGTATGTTTTTAACCATTTTATGGATGATAAACAAATTTTGGAAGAAATAAAAAATAAACATTGTTATAATAAGAAGAAAACAAAAAGATTTTTTCGTGGAAAATATCTTATAATCATAGTCTACAACTATGCTTTAGAATTAAGCTATATTTTTATGAATTTTGAATTAAAAACATTTAAGATAAATTTGCAACTAGCACAAGAACCATGATTATTTGATCATATCTATCTATTTTGCAGGTAATAGTGATGGAGAAGAGAAGGAAACTAAGGTAAAAGGTAGCCATTGCAATGCATCTCCAAAATCCAATGAGGTATATGTAGCAACCATAACTGCTATTATATGTTTCTTACTCCCATTTTCATATGAGTAAAGCAAATGATAATAGAAAGAATAACTCTAAGTCAAAAGAAGTATGCCTTTGGTAGGGCAAATTATCCAGGGAAAAAAACATTACTTGCTTAATTTTACTACAACACAATGTTTCTACCCTTTTGAAGCCAACAAACACACCATCAATTCAAATGCTTAAAATTTCATAAATTCTTTAACTAGTGATAATGAAAGTATTCATTCTTTGATTTGTAGAAAATAGTTGAATTACAGGCGAAGTTGAGTTAATTGGGACATGACTTGGATTCAAAGAACATCTAATGTTGCCATTAGATTAAGGAGGGGAAAACATAGTGCTTTTATTATGTTTCTTTAAAAATATAATAATACTATAGAATGTGTTTGGCAGGGACCGATGACCAACTCAACAAAAATTGAGAGTAAAGGAAGAAGATTTAGAAAAGTATTCCCAATAGGTAGACCATCTGCTATGAAAAAACTTCTTCTTATTTCTGCTTCTCGTGGTAGGCATGGGAAATCAGTTGAAAAAACCATTTGATCCAATCGTTGTACAAGGCGAAAGAAATTATTTCATTATAGTGTGAACATGTATATTTTCATATGTTGTAAAGTTTTTATGTAGTCATTTTTGGTTTCCGTATTATCTTTGCTTCTCTTTTTAGGTTAAGGTTAATTTTATATTTAAGGTTGTATTAAGTGACTTTGTAAATTCAAGGAGAATAATGCAATATTTTGACCACTCTTTTTCTAAAATCACATGATACCAGAGTCATTGTAGGCTATAGTTGTACCTTGTCGAACTCTAGGTCAATTGCGACTATTCTTTTAAGTTGCAAGTTTCTTTTAATCGCAGTCAGAGAACTTGACAAAATAAGCTTTCTGTTGCAACAACCATAATTGACAGTCTTCTATCTTGCATAACAACAATTGTAACCCACCTCTCTCTCTTTGCAGTCCACCACTAAAACCTTTTTATTCTTTGTAGTGATCGGCGATAAGTATTTTGTAATAATATCTCCTCGACAATAGCAACAATCATCCTTTTGTCTTGACAATCGTTGTTGTCTTCCTTTTGTACAGGAGCAATATTTCATTGTTTGACATTTGTGGTCTTTATATTATGACCCAAAACCCGCAAGGGTTGGTCGTTTTTACTTTATTTATTATATCTGAAAATAAATTACAAACTATTAAGGTTCAATTAAATAGAGATAACTATTCTTATTGGCCCAATATAATTATAAAAAAAATCTTCATGGTAAAGGGAAAACATCACTTATTTTAGTATTAAAGAAAAAACAAAAAAGTTAATAAGATTACTAAACAATATCACTTATTTAGGGATTGTTTGGGATGATCTAAATAAGTGTATTTTTTGTCTTTTTATTAAAAGATGTGCAGAAAAATAGAGAGGTGATGCGATAAAAAAAAAATTAAAAGATAAATTATTTTTAAATTGTCAAACTTGACTTTAATAATTATAAAATTGAAAAAGTCAACAAAACTTTTCATTTTAGTTTTGACTCAAAAAGGTGCATTTGAAAGTTGACTTTTTTTTTTTCTTTTTTTTTTTTTAAATTCTTAAGCTATTAGTGAACTCTTTAAAATTTTGAGTCATTTTTTTTTTCTAAATCCATTTGGATTCAAAGATTCTGAATTTTATTTTATTTTTTAAATTCATTAAAGACAAAAAAAAAAAAAAACTATTTTTTTAATCAATAAGGCGTAAGTGTTGGTTTTTTTTTATATCTTGATTTTTTAATAAAAAATTACTATTTTTTCAAAATTTTAATATAATTTAGATTATGGATGCTCAGTGGATATTTCGATCCATCCAAACTGACCGAACCGAATCGATCCGTCGCATTTTGGACGGATGTGTGAAGACAAGTGAACGATTGCAGATTGATTTTGTCCAATCTACTTAGTTTTGGATCGATGACGGATTTGAGATTCATTTGGCCGCAACTGAACCATCAAACCGCGAGCACTCATAGTAATTTGTAAAATTTTATATTTTCAATTTGTTTAAATATTTTATTTGTATTTTTAATTGAAAAATTGTTTAGATATTCTATTGTGTTTTCAATTTGAAAATCCTTTCATCAAATGTCAAATGTTGATATTTGATATTTTTGTATGAAAAATATAAGGCTTAATTTTGTCATTTTTAAAAAAAATTAAATTAAATAGTTTTTAATAAAAAAATAATGAAATAGTTTTAATAATGCATGATTTTCTTATATATATTTATTATTGGTATTTGACAATTTACTTGATAATGTTTTGATTATGTTGAGTTGGATTGTTATTCAAAAAAAATATTGACAAATTATTGTATTATGTTCAAAATTTGTAAAAATCTAAACTGCCAAACCGATTCGTATATATCCGTTTATCCGCATCTATCAATCCGGCGGATGCGAATTAATTTTTTTTAATTCGCCAATCTAACAGATGGATGACAGATTAAATTTAACTAGCAAAACACCCTTATTTTAGATGAACATAGGTATGCTTATTAAGGGCAAGTTTGGAAGATCCAAAAAAGCCAAAAAGTCAAAAAGTTACTCAAAAAGCTAAAAAGTTAACACTATTCACCAAAAGTCAACAATTACGGCTGCAATTTTTTAGTCCAAAAAGACAAAAAGTGTACTTTTTTAGTCTTCCCAAACTTGGCCTAAATTTAACTTGCAAAACAAACAAAGCTTCAGCAAATAGCAAACACCATACAATAGATCACATTTAGCAGATAAATTCTCACACAGTCAAAGGTTTGAAGTTTTTGATGACAAAATCTATAATTGTGTTTGGCACTTTCCTTCTCACAGCAAAAATTGACTTGACTATTTCCTTCGTACAACTTGACAGCGAACTTACTTCTAGAATTTGCCACGTCATAATGTTACATACTCGTAAAAAACACAATCCAATAATCCTTACCTACTTGTAATTGGTTTAAAAAGAAAAAAATAAAATAAAATAAAAAAATAATTAATTCAAATTATTTTAAGGGTTATGGAAGTCCCAAACTTTAAAGATTCCAAACATTTTTGTAAAACCTTCCAGGTCCAGTTACAAATTCATGTAATGCCAAATTCAGTTATAATATATATATATATATATATATATAACAAATACCTTAAAACACAAGGAAAAAAAATGAGAAACATAAAATATAAATTTTATTTTGTTTATCAAAATTTTCATGTTTTCACTTAATTTTTTTGTGGCTATTTTAGATTTTAAAGACTAGCTGCTTTTAACTAATAAGACTTAAATATTTTAGTCAAAAAATTATTAAAAAAATTTAATTCATACATAAAAAGAAAATTAGATCCCTTCACGTTTGATATATATATATATATATATTTTCAATTTTTGAAAAATAAAAAATCAAAAGAATTCTTTTCAAACATATTAATTTTTCACTTAATATTTTAATAAAAAAATTAAAAATCTACATGCTCTAAATTTGAGTTTAGCTAAAATATTTAACTATATGTCTAAGACTATCTCCAACTCAATATATTTTTGCTAGTCCAACCTTATCATCAAGTATCAAATTTAGAATTTCTTAAATCTTTCATTAAATTAAGAATGAATGTGTCTTTCATCAAATTATTGTTTATAACCGTTGAAGCTGCAAGTCATTTTCACCATCAGATATCCAATCAGTTATGCCCCTGGATGGCCACCTTCTTGCAAAAATTTGTTAAAAAATTATACTAGCAAATTGACCGACCGGACATTAGCTCGGTCGTTCGCCCAATCGACAGGTGTTTTGATTAAAGTTTAAAATCTTTCGTTGGAGCACATGATATCATATGGAGTTTTTACTCAAATTTAGTGAAAAAGATACAACGTTAGAGATACTCTGACATAATGAAATTAAAAAAAGAGAGAGTTAGAAATATTATTATTTAATATTAAAATTGTGAAAAAATATTTTAAAATAGTAAAATAATTTTGATTTTTTTTAAATGAATAAAATATAAACATTTGATATTTTTTATTACAAAATTGGTGGACAGGTGTTACGACATAAGCACCGCACTTTTCACATAAGCCAATAACGTCAGAATTTTTTTCGTTTCACAGTTCATTTTTCTCATTCTTTCCTCTCTCCTTCCCAATACAGTATACACACTCTTTTTTTTTTTTTCTTCTTTCTTTGGATTTGAAGGAATGAAGGAGTAAAACAGATTTGATTCCTCTCTGTCTGTATCTATATCTCCATCTCTTGCCCCATATACGTACAGATTATATATATATTTCTGTTAGGGTTGGTTTGAAATGAAGTCTCTTGGGAAACTGCGTAAATTTGCACTTCAAAAAAGCGATGGGAAAGAGAAGAGAGAGTATCAACCGTCGGCGCATTTGAATGATCTCGCTCAAGCATCTCAGGTTACTTCTTTGTCTTGTTAAACACTTCACTCTGATTTCTGTGTTTTAATTGTCTAACTCGATCTTCACTTTGAAACGTAAAAAATTTAAACTGACTTACAATTAGGGTTTCATTACTTACTTCCTCAAAACTTCTTTTGTGCTAGATTCTGTTTCTATTTCACTCTTTATATGATGAAATTTGTACACTTTGTTGAAAAAACTATGCTGAATTGATCATAATTAATCGCTCGTAGACCCAGAATTGAACTTCTTTGCATCTGTAATGTAATAATCCTTGTCTGATGATGACCCTCTTAGAGATTTTGGTTATTCTAGTTCTGTATTTTGTTTAGGGTACAATACAAGATCATGTAATTTATTTTAAATTTTTTGTTTCAAGATTTTCTTCTTAAATGCATAATTTTAGAATTGATTGCAGTCAATATGCAAGAAATTGATTAAATTGAATAGTTAGATCAATATGTGCTTTGTTAGATTGGATTTTGTCGTAGTGAATTATAGTCTTAAAGAGTCCAATATACAGGAAGCAGGAGCAGTATGATAGTTCTGATTTCAGCTTAACTCATGACATGTTCCCTGTTCATGTAATGATGTTAATGGAGCTTTGACTACTATTTGAAATAACCAGCCTATCTGCCCAAAAATGTAAGGACATTGAGCTGGTTGCTTGGCCCATTGCTGTACAACAGAACAAGAAGGGACTAGGGAGAAATGAAGTACATGTCCAGCATAAAAGGGCTTTTACCACAAATGCAATAATTTAAATTTAATAGTATTTAGGTAATTTGTGTGTCAAAAAAGATTCTGTAATAGGAAACATAACTGGTACTGGAGGCCATAGAAGAGGATAATTACTTCATAAATAACATATCCCTTTTGATTTTTTTGGTATGTGTTTGATGGTGGTCAAAAGGTATATTTTGTTAGGATCAAACACACACCCAGAAAAATATCACACACACACAGAGAACACAATATTTACGTGGTTCGGCCCAATGCCTACATCATATTTAAGCATATACCTTAAATAAATTTACTAAGTTTTCTACTTCATATATAACATACACCGTTTGATGGTTGATTTTTTTGTAAATTTAGTAAATCAACCTCTCTATTGTGAAAGTTCATCTCTATACGTCTACCATTCCATTACCTCTCAAGATAGAAGGCCACCCGACCATTATCTTGAGTCACCTGCTTGAAGATGTCGTGAATCCTCCTCAACTCCTCTCTCATCAACCGAATCTATCAATTGGAGTTGAGACCTCTTTCCTTGAGAGTAAAAGGCTCGACTTCTTCGTCCTCCTCCTCTGTTAAATCTAGCGTCGTCCACGCTAGTTGAACTATAGCTCTTCTATAGATAAAGGTCATACCAAATGCATAAGGCTCCTATTTATGGTAAAGTCTAGTAGGTAACCCCGCCTTTTTTTTTTTTTTTTGATTTTGATTCCCGTGATTCAAACCCATGACACAACATTGGGAGGGGTATCACTTGCCATCATACCAGATCATGTCCCCAAAATGCATCATCCTACATATATGAATAAAATTAAGATATAATTGAGAGATTTATCTTTTTCCTTCCTCGTTGCTTCTCAGTCATATTTACTAAGTTTGAACTGATTCCCTTTTGATTCCCACCAAGAAAGGAAGAACTTGGTGTTGTGGGGTCATGCTCAGTACTCAACCATAATGCTTCTTTCAGTAGGAAGGATGGAAAATTGGAAGGTTGAAGGCAGGGGAGATGGATAGACATCCCTATGGAAAGGAAGGTGCCTTTCTCCAACAAGCTTGACTAGAATAAAAAGATTATTTTTACACATGTTATTTTTGTTTGTGTTTTTTAAGCTTCATTCTCGGTAAAATTTACAGCAAGAACTAAATCATTTACCTTAGAAAGAGTTGAGAGGCACATCATGATTATTTTTAATGACGACTTTGATGAACAAGAACTTAGACACTTAGTTATGTATGATCAATTTTTCCAACCAAAAAAGAGAGTCAAGTATTTTATTCCCCTTGTTTTTATGTTACATTTTGTCCCCTTGGGTCTTACACAATCTCCTAGAAAGAAGTACTCATTTTTGACGTAGGCAATGCTTTGGCTTGGCACGCCTGCACCCCAAACCTTCTGTGTTAGCCAATTTTTGTGCACTATGCCAAAGGTTATGTGTGTACTCAATCTTTCCTCTCCCAAATAGACATTAATGTGTACTAATTGGGTGTTGTTTTTTTTTTTTTTTACTTTCATATTAGCAATTGGCTATGGAAACCATTTGTTTTTTGTGGGGGAACAAAAAAGGTGTTAGACTTGTAGTTAGCAACTAGGAGGAAATAAAATGGTGCAATACTTGTTTCTCATTGGTGCTGTTGGCACTGCAATCATACCCATCTGTACCATCACTTGATTTTGTGGCTATTTAGACCGGCGACTATATACCTGATTTCAATTTTTGTCCCTTATTCACAAGCTTATGGTTTTGTTTATTTCTCCATTATTCACAGGATATGCAGGATATGAGAAATTGCTATGATAGCTTACTTTCAGCTGCTGCTGCAACAGCAAATAGTGCATATGGTACTTATTTGACTTCATTCATCTTCAGATGTTTCATGCTCTTGTTTTCAAATTTTCATACAAGGGTCAATTAGACAATGATCCATAACTTGTGTGATACTAAGAAAGCTCTTACTGGTAGTATAAGCAACCATCAAACTCTTTTTTTTATTTTTTTTTTTAACACCATGCACAAGCTTTTTAATGGAGTGCCTATGGGTATGTGTTCTTTACAAATTTTAAGTGGCATTGCTAGGTAAAAAAATTCTGTTGAATGGACCAGTAGGTATAATTCGTTGCCATAGCACGAAGTTATAATCCGAAGTTTATTATCTTTTCATTAAAAGAATAATCTTTTAAATATGTGTAAACTACCAATAGGTTATAATATTTAGATTTAATTCCCATCAAGTTCTATTAAAAATAAGTCCTAGTAAAATCGTCGCTAAAACTAATTTTTTGTGACGATTTTTTGCATGTTGCTAAAAATTGACAATTAGTGACTTTTTTCTGTCATGGTTTTTATAAATTGTCGCTAAAACTTATAATTAGTGACGTTTTTCTGTGACAAATTTTTTAAACTGTCGTTAAAAGTTGAAAATTAGTGACTTTTTGTGACGATTTTTTTTAAACTGTTGCCAAAATTTATAATCAGTGACATTTTTTCATAACAACATTTTCAAACTGTTGCTGAAAATTAACAATTAGTGACGTTTTTTAATAGTATTCGACGAAAAACGCCGTTCAGCTTGCTTATTTTTGGTTTTCCAAGAATACTTTTCGGAAAATTCTACTTTCTTGTTTTTCATATTTTTTTTTGTTTTTACTGATTTTTTTTAATATTTTAAGCAATTTTTTAAAAATTTTTTTTTAGACACACCTATCATAAATACACATAAGAAGTATAATTTTTGTGAAAAAAATCTTTTAAAAAATCACTAAATATCAAAAATACAAAAAAAAAAAAAAACACGAGAATTCAATATATTTTTTGTAGTTTTATGTATTTATTAATTTTTTAAAATATTTTTTTCACAAAATTTTTACTTTTTAGATACATCTAAGTATGATGCATCTAAAAAAGTAAAAAAAAATTTGTTTAAAATTTTAAAAATATTCACTAAACATAAAAAAAACACAAAAACTAAAAAAAACTCAGTTTTCAAAATACTTAATCCAAAAAACTCAAACCAAACACACACATTAATTCTTGTAGGACCTATTGGACAATAAATCCACCTATTAGAACCTACACGTAAGTCTCCCTTTAAATATTTGCTCATATTCTCAAATCAGTCTCCAAATCTCTTCAAAGCCTTGTTCTGTATGATGAATTTTTCCTAAAATGATTTATAGAACATATTGGGGTTATCTGGATTTAAAGGTAACTTTGTATGCATGCTAATTTAATTATTGTATCATTGTTTGAGTATCTTTTGCTGCTGTAATCTGGTTTTCAAAAATTAAGATACGGTGTTGTAATATGGTGAATAGGCGAAGTATGGCTTCATTTTGTGTATTGTTTCTATGACTGTAGCTTGTATTAGTACTGAAAAATGTTTAAACATTTACCATATTGCTATGCTCTTTCTTAGTATTTGGTTTTCAAGAAATTTCTACTTGAAATCATATTCATACATGATCAATGCAATTATATGATAGCAATTTTAGTCCTGTTTGCCTTTATGTGAGATTCTATCAATGTAGTCTCCCACTTAACTACATCTTCAATTTCAGAATTTTCAGAGTCACTACGGGATATGGGTACCTGTCTACTGGAGAAAACTGCATTAAACGATGATGAAGAAAGTGGTAAGTACATCATGTTTGGATTTACTTGGTAGTTGCCAGATTATTCTTGGAGCAATTGATCTTGGTGTGTTTTGAGTAACTTCATATGATTTGGCCCAGATGTCACTCAAACGTAGAACTTTGGAAAATATAAACAATCTCCAACCAGCTGTTATGCCTCTTATTTATGTATGCATAGATTAGAGAATATAGTAACCTGGTATTAGTTTTCACTCATTATACAGTTCTTTTGTCATGTAAAGCCTTGTTTGAGATCTACATTTTACGATAAAAGGGCAACAAGTAATGAAAAAAGGAAAGCCCGGTGCACGAGACTCCCACCACTACGGGGTTTGGGAAGGGTTAGATGTACATGGCCTTAATTTAGGTTTTATTCCAAAACTTATTTTAGTTTGTCAAGTAACTGTTGCTAGACTGGTCAATCAAGATCAAAGCTTTTAGATGATCTTGTATATATATATATATATTTATTTATCTGATTCTATCTTTATTCATGCCTCTTTCTTTCCCCTTCATATTTATTAATATATGAATAATGATATAGGGTTTTTTTTTTCCCGCCTCTCTTTTTAAACTCAGCTTTACAACTCTGCATGTTAGTGTTTTTTTATTTTTGTATATAGAAGAAATTGCCTAAACTTGTGTTGTGAGTGAAGTTAAGAATATGATCTAGTAGTACCATACCTATTATTGTGATCATCACTATCATCTTGTTTTTTTTACCGCTTTGGTTATTATTCAACTGGTTTGGATTTTGCAACTCATGCGTAAAGAGGAGAAATCAGCATTTTGTCCAATCTGTCTCTTTGTTTCAAGATGTTGTAAGATACTTGGGAATTGTGCTGCAATCACTACTTTATGTTTGTGCAGGCAAAGTATTGTCAGTGCTGGGAAATGTGCAGTTTGACCTCCAGAAACTTGTTGATAGCTATGTGAGTTCTTATTGTAATGTTTTATGCTGCAGCACTCTATTTGATTTCATTTTACAGCATTGATTTTGACCTAGTAATGAATATTTTCTTTCTCCATGTCAGCGCTCTCATGTAATCCTGACAATTACAACCCCATCAGAGTCACTTCTCAACGAACTTCGGACAGTGGAGGTTGGTCCATATGGATTCTAGTGTTTTTTTGGTTTTTTTTATGCTGTTGCTGATATCTATGCCTGCAGCCAACTAGAAAACGAGTTTCTCATGAATAGCTATTGTTGGCTGATTAATGATCTTCAAATGTTTTCACCAATCAAATACACCGAACTTGGTCTTTGGTTTCAAGCTTGACTGCTGAACGAGTCAAGCTTGACAATTTCCTTAATTAGATTTCACTAAGGAAAACTGAAAAGTTAGGCCTCATTTAGTTTCAAAATCATAACCTTTAGCAACCTTATTGAAGAAATATTGATGGTTGACGTACAAATCAAACATTAGTATAAGTTAACAAGAACTTTTTTGATTTTGTTCATGGGTGATTTTTCTACTGTTAATACGGTTGAGTAAAAGTGAAATATCTTAAATATTTGACGTCTCAATTTTCAAAATGTCAATCTGATCTGCTCCCATCCAGCCTTCCTCCACCCTCTTTTTTTTTTTTTTTTTTTTTTTTTTTTTTTTTTTTTTTTTTTGTTGTCATTTTGGCTGCCTTCACTAGGAAGGTTTGTCATGGTCACCTTGTCATTGGTTGGATACCTTGACTACCTTGGTATGTTATGATGATGGCGTTCTTATAAATTTGTATTCAATGAGCTTTCTCTTGTTTGTTGGCACAGGAGATGAAAAGGCAGTGCGACGAAAAAAGGTACAAATCATTCTGTTAGTTTAACTTTGTATGATTGAAGTACATTTCATATTGATTAGTTACAAAATCTTTAGAAATTTGTACGAATACATGGTGGCACAACAGAAAGAAAAGGGAAAGTCAAAAAGTGGGAAAATGGAAGTTTGTACTTCGCAGGAATTACAAGCAGCTCGTGATGAATATGATGAGGAGGCAACCCTGTGCGTTTTCCGATTGAAATCTCTGAAGCAAGGGCAATGTCGCAGTCTTTTAACACAGGCAGCTCGTCATCATGCAGCTCAGGTGTTCTTTATGTCTTCCAATTAAATTCATATATCATGAATTCTCAATTCTTCTTGCAAGTTCACTACTAATGTCTTTGGTCTTTCCTCTATTGTTCTGCTGTGGATGCAGTTGAATTTCTTTCGGAAGGGACTTAAATTTCTTGAGGCTGTTGAGCCACACATAAGACTGGTTACAGAAAAGCAACACATTGACTACCAACTTAGTGGACTTGATGATGGGGAAGATGGGGAGAATGAAGGTGTTGAGACTAATGATGATGGGGAATTGAGTTGTGACTACAGACAAAATAAGCAGGGCCTTGATGCTGTTTCCACATCAAGGAATTCGATGGAGGTAAATTTGCTCTTTGGGATCCTGCTACATTAGCTTTCTTGTACGATTTTGACTGTCAACCCCATCCACTGTCTATATCATGGAGTAGAGCAGTGTTACCACAAAACGCTAATACCCTAGCGATTTACGTTTTGGCACATACATGCTGAAACACAGTATACTTTTGTTAGCAATTCCGAAACTTTTTTCCAATATATTTCATTAACATCTCCTTAAGAGGAAAAAAGCAAATATAATAAACTAAAATCTAAGGAGAGTGGATTGGCATAACAAAAAGTCTACTCACGTTCCAAGTGGCATAGGAGTAGAGAGTAACTAGGTACAATGACTTACATGTTAAAAATTTGTTGTTCATTAAGATAAAATACTAGGAGCTTAGTATAATGACCCTTCAGGTGTTGGAGGACCTATCAGCGATCAAGCTTAACTATATATTTGTACAGATTGAATAGGGAAATACAAGCAATTGATATATCTGATTGGGTTGAATTTTCACTTAATATTTTTGTATATTATCACCCCTTAATTTTTGCATGTAATGTGGATTTTGCAGTTAGATCAGGTGGATATTCCATGTCCTCAAGTTTCTACGGTTGAAAATGCAGAGGTAAAGCACTTCAGCATCCCCCTTGAATAATAGAGTGAAACAGTTGTTTTCCTGTAGACTATTGGGAGGAAGTAATCCTTGTTTGATTGTCTCTGGCGAAAGAATCAAATTATGTTCAAGGAAATCAACTATTTTGTTCTTCTAAATAGAACATAAGGTCTTCTGAACAACTTTTGAAACAACTTGGCATGGTGATAGAACAACCATCGGCATTTATTTTGTCTAGTTTGTTTGTCTTCATTTATCAATTTGTAGGATCCTGTTAATCTGTGCAGGTAAATCTTAACAAAAGCATGGGGGAGCATAATTTCAATCGGGAACATCGAGTGGGCAGCCATTCTGCCCCAATATTTGCAGAGAAGAAGTTTGATCCAGCTGAAAGGGCTAGAGAAATGCAGCCATCTGCTCGGAAGTTTCACAGTTATGTGCTACCCACTCCTGTTGATGTGAAGAGTTCGATTTCAAGAACAAATGGTTCAGATCTGCAGTTGAGGCCAACAAGCCATATTGGAAGCTCCCAAAGTTTGTGGCATTCATCCCCATTGGAGCCTGAGAAGCGTGAGAAAGATTTCACAGATGATAACTTGTCAGTGCCCACTATCTCAAAAGCACAATTAAAACTCAAAGAGAGCAATAGCAACAATCCCTCAGTCCAGGTCCCCCCAACTCTGCCTCAGGGACTCTCACTTCCACAATGTGATGCACATTATGCATATGATACAAAAAAATTCAAGAGACAAGCTTTCTCTGGTCCTCTTACTAATAAGCCATTGTCAACAAAGACTTCTTTATCTGCCAGTGGCCCCATTACCTCCTCTGAACTTCCCCAACTAGTTTCTGGATTGCTTTCTCGAGTGCATACTCTTCATCCTTCATCATCTCCAAAGGTGTCTCCCAGTGCTTCACCTCCCATTGTATCATCACCCAAAATAAGTGAGCTTCATGAGCTTCCTAGGCCCCCAGGTGGTTTAGCTTCCAAGCCAGCAAGTTCTTCCATTGAACACTCTGCCCCATTGGTCCTCAGAAATCAGGAGCTTTCTCCAACAAATAAAAGCCAAGCAGGGGCATTTAGTAGTGCATCCCCACTTCCAACTCCTCCTCCATTAACAATTCCTCGAAGTTTCTCCATACCTTTTAGTAATAAGAGAGGAATAACTGTCCATGTGGCCAAGCCATTGGAATCTTCTCAACATCCAGTCAAGGCTGAAGAAGTAGTTTCTCCTCCACTGACGCCTATATCCCTTTCAAACATCAAGCTATTATCAACTGTTTCCGAAGTAGACTCTCATTCTGGGCAAATCAAAGGTAACTAAAATTCGTCATTCCCCCCACACTCCTACTGCTGTTTCTTATATGATGCTTGTTTTTATTGTTAGGAATGGGGTTAAAAAAAAATTTGATGACGACGTCTTGTTTTACAGTCAGTAAGCTACATGTTTTGAGCAATGGAGTTTTCTTATCTTGCATGTTTTGTGTGTATGGTTCTAAATGTGAACCTTAATGGGTGCATGCAGGTGAGAGCTGATCCAGTGGCTTTCTGCTGAATACAGGTCTGTAAATATGATGTTTCGTGTTTGTTTCAAATTATTATTTTTAATGGAAGCTTTTCTCCATGGTGGTTGGTCATTGACTACGATGTGAATTCAGCTCTTCACAATTTTGTCATTAGAATGATTATCGTGTATTTTTCTAGAGAATGAATATTATATTTCTACGCTGAGCAATTTCTGAACAATGTTGGATTTTTCATTTTCCAAAGTGAGTTAAGGGAATGATACATATTATGGGTGTTTGGTTTTTTGGTTTACCCATCAGCCTTCATATCCGGGTTTATTCTCCTCTCCTGGCAGATCCGGCACAAGGCCCCGAGTTTATTTTAAAAAGTTGGCCTTTTTTTTTCTTATTTATTTATTTATTTTAAAATTTTTAATCTTTAAGTTGAATATTGAATTGTCTTAAACCTGTATCCCACATTTTTTTTTCTAATAAGAAGAAAAAAAATATATCCAAAGGAATTATAATTATGGAATATAAAAAACAATTGATTTGAATTGTGTATCAAATAGCATATTAATTATATCAAAGTACAATTTTATTAATTTTTAATCAAAATTTTATAAGTAATGTTAGGGATACTAAAATTTCTACCAAATGTCTTGCATGGATTGGTCTCACATAAATGTCGAGTCTACATTCATGTGAGACATTTGATAAAATATTTGGTACAAATTTTGGGACTCTAGCATTTTTCATATTTTATATGGGTGTGTTTGATTGGACGGACTGGATAAGGGGGATTAGAATCCATGGGACTTGGGTCCTGGGACTGTGAATCTCCTGGACTATTTGGTTGGATTGGATATGTATCCTGTGTTTTTTTTTTATGAGATTAGATGTCTGGACTATTTTTAGTGAATCCAACATTTGGTTGGACGGATTGGATAGGATAAATGAACAAAAGACAATTTTACCCTTTTTCAATTATTTACTGAAAATTTTAAAATAATGCTGTACTTATATACATTTGGACTTGTGCACAACCGCTAATATCTCGGATCAAAGGTTGTAGGCTCACTCAGAACATACTTTGGTAGTTCATATTTTGCACCTGCAACAAGATTTGTTTACGCATCTTAGATGGAGTCAACTAGAGAAAATAAGAACATTACGAATGAGGAATTAGAGATACAAAATTTTAAGGACGTGTTTGTGTGGATGGACTGGATAAATGGTAGATTAGAATCTGTTGGACTGTTAGTCCTTTGATATATTGTTCTGGAATTATTTGGTTGGACTGGATTTGTATTTTATATTTATTTAGTCATGGAATTAAATGTCAAGACAAGATTATTTAGTTGGATAGGATATGAATTCTATGCTTGTTTAGGATAATTGTAGAGAAGGATAAATGTTCAAATGACTATTTTACCCTTTTCAATTATTTATTAAGTAATAGCAATATTAAACATATTTTTAATACTTCAATTATTTTAACTAGATTAAATAAAATATCCATAAAAATATATGTTATTTTTTAATTAAAATATTAAATAAATTTAAAAAATAATAATAATTAAACAATGAAATTAAATAAAACATCTATTAACATTTAAATAATGAAATTAAATAAAATATAAATAAATTTTAAAATAAAACATCAATAAAATATCTAAAAAAAATATTTAAAAATAAATAAATAAAACATCAATAAAAAAGTTAAATAAAATTATTTTATTTTTAAATTGAGACATTTAAATTTTATTGAATTTTATGAAATATAATACATAATTAAATAGTAGAGGGTCAAAATGGTCATTTCATCACCTAATCCTAACAGTAAATAATCCCCCCAAAATTATCCCACCCCCCCGGATATCCAGGATAGTATAATCTCGGGGATAAAGAGTCCGGCCGGACTCCATGTCCGGCGATCTCACGATTGGCCAAACGGCAAATAAGGAACACTATTTGAATTATAATCTAAATAGTGGATAGTCTCCCCCTAATCCGGCGAATCAAACACGCCTATTATGTAAATAGAAATTGGGTGGTTGAAGTTATTAGGTTGTGAGAACACTATTTGGACTTTGGAAAAAAAACACAATCGTTCTTGCATGCTAAACTTGAAAATTTGTGAATTTGTGTTACAAGAACAAATCAAGTGCAAAAAGGGAGAGAGAGTGAGAAGAAGTTCAGTTAAGTGCACAACATCACATTTACTTTTTTCCAAATAAAGTTTTCCTAAGAATTTGTAGGAAGAAAAAATAATCTAGATTTCTCAAAAAATAAAAAATGGAAAACTTGTTGGAATATTGCAAAGAATTTGACAATTTGCACTGATGCTGATTTAGGTGTAGCAATGTGTGTTTGGTTTGAGTTTTTTAGATTAAATTTTTTTAAGATTGAGTTTTTGTTTTTTGTATTTTTATTTTTAGTGAATATTTTTAAAATTTTAATCATTATTTTTTAACTTTTTTAGATACACTTTACTTTGATGTATTTAAAAAATAAAAAATTTGTGAAAAAATATTTTTTTAAATTAATAAATACATAAAAATATGAAAAATATATTGAATTTTCGTATTTTTTTATATTTTTGATATTTAGTGAATTTTTAAAAGATTTGTTCACAAAAATTGTACTTTTTATGTGTATTTTTGTTAGGTGTCTAAAAATTAAAAAAATTACTTAAAATATTAAAAAAATCAATAAAAATAAAAAAATAAAAAAACACGGAAAAAAAAAGTATAATATTTTGAAAAGTGGTTTTGGAAAACCAAATACAAGCAAAGTGGTTCACTGTTCAAATTCTGTAGATTTTAGTTTTTTTTTTTAATCAGTTCGTACAAGATATATTAGTGAACTTTCAAAGGTAAAAAAAGTCAAGCATAATATTTTAAAAAAGAAAATGTGAAAAATACAGCCCTGTCAAAATATTATACAGCCCTGTCAAGAAATTTTTTTTTGAAAAATTGACAAATACTGATAAAAATTTTTTTTCACTAATATATAATTATTAATATAAAAATATCTTGATATGTAATTTTTTCTAGATAAATTAGTATTAGGTCCTAATAGTTGGACTTAATTTTCATCAAGTTCTATTGAAAATAAGTTTTAGTAAAATCGCAATTAAAAATAATTTTTTTACATATATTGCTAAAAATTGATAATTAGTGACTTTTTTTTGTCACGATTTTTATAAATTATCACTAAAACTTGCAATTAGTGATTTTTTTAACTGTTGCTAAAACTTATAATTAATGATATTTTTTGTAATAATTTTTAAACTGTTGTTAAAAATTAATAATTAATAATTTTTTTAAATAATATTTAATAAAAAAACGCCATTAATTTAGATCTACGCGTGAGTCTTCCTAATGGTAATAAAGAAAAAAAAGCATCTGACAATAAGGTATAAAAATTTAGAGAGGGGAATTATTTAATAATTTTGGAATATCATGTGATCAAATTTCAAACTAATTATTAATTACTTAGTTTCATATTATTCATTCATTCCCAACATAAATTGTGGGTTCTTAACCTTTTCTACCAATCAAAACTTTTTATAACACCACGGTCTATATTCTGAAAATATTAAATAATCACCCAAAATAAAAACTCTAGTAATATGATAAGAACAAAAAAAAAATTAAAACATCCATTCCTAGAGTTCCATTAAAACTCATATTTTAGAGTTTTAAAATATTTTTGTAAAGGGAACAACTTGTATCCAGTCCGAGATTAAATTTGACAGTGTTGTTCGGTCTGTGAGGGCGCACCATAGGTTCCGTTTTGATAATCTGAATCGTTCAATGTGTAGATCTCGTCGAGTACTATATGCTTGTGAAAAATCGCATTGACCGGATATCGATAGTTATGTAATCAAATCGGTTTTGTATTAAAAAAATAGACGGTGAACAAATAAATAATTAACAAAAAACTAATCCGATAAGATAGCTATCGATATCCGATCAATATAATTTTTTTTAAAATATCTATACTTAACAATTTTTACACATTAAATAATTTAAATTATCAAAACGAAATCCGTAATACCGACGAGAGGCAAAGCTGCTTCCTTTTGTCGAAATATATTTGGCTTAGATATTTGATATTTGCGAGGGGGAACACACGCAGTGAAGGGACAAAAACACTAGGAGGAGCAGATATGAGGATACTAGGGTCAAGTTGCGGTGAGGTCCGAAGCCAATTGCTCCAGCAATCACGACAGCCACCAGTACCATTCCTCCATTGTCAATTAACTGCTGTGAGCCCCCGTGGCTTCTCAAATTTGAAGCGCCGATTTCAGACACCTCTTCCAACTTCACTTCTCTCTCTAACCACCACCACCACCACCCCCAAATTGCCCCTTAAACCCTTATCTACCACCACCCGCTCACTCCCCGATGACGCTGCTTACGGTTAGTTACTTCACCTTCTTATTTATTCTATTTTTGTTTACTTCTTACACTTACACTAGTACTACTCCTATATGCTTTTACAGAGCTGATTGCTATTTGAATTTTTTATTTACAATAAATTTCTGGTCTTGGTCCAAATGTTGTGTAATGGCGTTTTGTGCTTGATAATTGGTAGTTGCAATGCAAGTACTGTCTGTTAATAATAGTGTGTCTTCCTATTATTATTATTATTAACTTTTTTTTAATTATAAATTTTTTGGACATGGTTGGGTTGGGTTGGACCTTTCAATTTTTTGGGGGTATCATTTGAATTGTGATTTAAATTAATCATTATGCGAGCTTGTTTGGTGTAGCCCATTGGATTGGGGTGGTGGAGTTCTAAGATGTTAATGTTCGGTTCGGTTCAATTTCTCAACATTCTCTAGTATTCTACTTACAAAGCTATTTTTTTTTTTGTTTTGTTTTCTGCCTTTCAATTTGCTTTCTTCTTTGTAAGGTTCGGCAACAAAGGTTGCAGATGTTGATCTTGCTTTAGCAGTCAAGGTGACATTTTAATCCCACCTTACATGAATGTTGAAATCCCAATTATTTGTTGGTAAATCTTTAATTCTTTTTTTGTTAAAAAAGAAAAAACATGAAGTAAATACTTTCAAGATGCTTCCTTTTGGAAGCAAGAAGGATTATCTTTTCACTTGACATTGTGTTTGGATCATAGATTTAGGTAGTGATTTTTCCCTTGCCTTTTCCTTTCCCTTCCAAATCGCTACTAAAATTTATGATCCATACACAACCCAAGTGTAGCATTAATTATGCTTTATCATTTGTCTAATATTGTTTGACAATGATTAGTAGGAGGTGAGAAATAATTTCATATGGTTTGAAGTGCTAATTTTAACTGTTCAGTTTTATTTCAGAACAAGGCCATAGATATTTCCCCTGATCTAAAAGGAACTTCAATATTTCTTGTTGGTGAGCACTAGTTTATGCAGATTGAACCCCCCCTTCCTTTTTTTCTTTTTTTTTTTCTCCCTGATTGATGAAATTTTGTCCATTGAATCTTATCCTTACCTTTTTTTTATGTCTAGTTGTGTACTTATTTATGATTTGATATGATGGTTCTTGTAACTATTAAGGGATAAACGGTGCCATGAAAACTAGTATGGGGAAACTTCTGGCTGATACATTGCGATATTACTACTTTGACAGGTACCCGTGCAATCCTGTCACAAAATCAGGAGCAGCTCTTTCAGCTTGAAATATGGTAGCTGAGTTAATTTTTTTGTTTACTTGGTGTGCAGTGATAATTTGGTTGAGGAAGCTGCAGGTGGTGGATCTGCTGGCAAATCTTTTAGAGAGAGAGATAAGGAAGGATTTTCTGAATGGGAGGTAACTTTTGCAGACATTTCTTTAATGCCACGCTTTAAGGGTTTGAGATTGTTAGTTTTAGTTCTTCTTTAGGTTTGTCATTCAAAGGGGGATTGTGCAATAAATGAGCAAATGCCTATTTTCCAACTGAGGCATCCCGTGACCAAAACTGAACAATTAATCGTAGAAAATTCAATAAATCCAATTACGCAATCTGCTTTAGTTGCTCAAATCTAGATAAACTGGCTAAATTTTACGGTGATTTTTTTATCAGATTGAAGTATTGAAGCAGTTATCATCCATGGGTCGCTTGGTTGTTTGTGCTGGAAATGGTGCAGTTCAGAGCACAACTAATCTGTATGTCTATTGATTCCTCTGTTTCTCTACTTGTGTTGTTCTGCAGTACTAGTCTATTCTGTTGTGTTCAAACATCAAGTTTTGTTTTCAACTCGATTTTCCAATTAACACTTATAGGGCATTATTGAGACACGGGCTTTCTATATGGATTGATGTCCCTCTAGACATGATAGCCAGGGATGCCATAGAAAATGGGAGTCAACTTTCTGAATCAGAAATATTTAGTTTTGGATCTTATTCTGAGGTCAGTTTTTCCCACTCAAACTTCTAATTAGCTCACTTCTTCTTTCCTCGTAAAATAATTTCCATTATTTAACCTGATAGACATCCAGAGTATATGCCATTGTTGAGCGCTCCTGATTAACAGTGTTAACTCAAGTAAATGTGTTGCATGGATGTTCAATCAGCTTGTTGTTTTGTATGAAGAGCTGAAAGGCGGATATGCTACAGCGGATACGACTGTTTCTCTTCACAGTATGCCCATTGATTTTTCTATAGTTCATGCTATGTTAGATTATTATTTCCCACTTGTTGTAACAGCCTCTTGTTCTTTGCAGAGGTGGCTTCCCAGTTAGGTTATGATGTCTTGGATGCTGTAACCAAAGAAGACATGGCTTTGGAGGTGAAGTTACATACACACACACACATACACACACAAGCATAACATGTTCTTAAGATTAAGTTAAATGGATGAGGAGACTTAGCTTGGGACTATCCCTTCTGTTTATACAATTGCAGGTTCTCATAGAGATAGAAAAACTGGTTAGAGTAAAGCAGATGATGGAAGAGGCTGCTAGGCCATTTTAGCTTTCGAGGGCCATGCTTTCATATCTTGTAACAACTTTTGGGTTAGTCCATGTTAACTTGTTATTGCTCATGTGTAGGCAACGTATAAGCTTTCGAAGTTTCATCTTTGGAATTGTTGTAACTTAAAGCATGGAATATTATGTTACCCATGTCTTTAAATGAAACAAAAGTCTTCTTGGCTTGGTTTACTACAATGGAAGTTAGTTTTGGGAAAACTACATAATACACTTATTGCTGCAAAACTATAGAGCACTAACACTCCAAAACGAAATAAATTTTTACCCAAGTTAAACACAAAACATGAATTGATATGGGAAGATCTTGAAATGACGAAAACTAGTGGAAGCAGTGTGAATTGTGGATTTACTGGTGAAAACTACACACTCAGAGACTCGATAGAAGGAAGTAAAAGAAATTTCACTCTTTGGAATAGCTAATTGAAAGTCTGATTCCCAAATTTGCATGATATATATATATATATTTGCATTGCTTTTGTGTCTGGTAATTAAATGGAGGTAGCTTAAGGTATGAGAAGTGGGAACCCGCACCAATACATGTATGTATATTAGTTAGGATAGGATATGAGAGGTTGGTTCAACTCTAAACTTGAATAAAAGTTGAGCATAAAACGCGTTTGGGGCATGTGCACAGATCTTGAAACCCGTGTTGCATTGATCACCTACCTAATTATTCAAGCATGTTGGCTCGTGTGCTTCAATCCATACTCAATCTTGATGAGTGGATGTGGTTGGTGCATGGAGCTATTTTAATGATCCTTGAGATTTGATGTTGAGAAAGTTGTTAGCTTTTATTTTTGGTGATTTTTTTTTTTTTTTTTTTCTGGATCTGGAGCTGAAAATGAAGGGGGGGAAAATTTGTTGGCTGTGTTGATGAAGGTGTGCTGTGTTGATGAAAATGTTGATTTTTTTTTTTTTTTTTTTCTGGAAGGGTGGACATCCTGTACCAACTCAGCCTAGATTGGACTGGTTAGGTGATAAAATTGACTGATTTGCTGGTTAAAATTTATTAATTTCATATAATTTTGTACGAGTCCCTATTCTATTTTTATTCCTAACTGATCCGTTAATTTTATCATCCAACCAGTTCAACCCAACTCACTCACCTTACCAAACCACACAAGCTAAGTGAGTACGGGATGTCTAATTTTTTGGCACACCCTTACATATAACCATCCTCCCCCCCCCCCGAAAAGAGATGGAAAAAAAAAACTAACTAACACAACCTTAGAAGAAGAAGAAGAAGAAAAAAAAAAAAAAAAAAAAAGGAATTCGAGACATTCCAGCCTCAACCATTCGAGGCCCCAAACATTTCTCAATGTATGTATGCCAAATTACCTTATCATAAATCATTTATTGAGTAAAGTTATACATATCATAATTTTTTTATTGTATTTGATTTACTATCTTATGCATCACTACTATATTGATTTAATAAATTTTACTATACGATATATAGTATCAATATAATAATGCATGCATACCATAAATACGATAAATCAAAATCTATAACATATATTAAAAGCAGGTAAGAGTGGTGTAACATGGTGTAACAGATGGTGTCACTTAACATCTATGACATTCTATAAAAGAATGAAAGCATACAAGTGCTGTCAATCTAACGCAGTAATTTACCAGAAATGCCCACTGAGTGTTTACAATATAACATTCTACCCAAAGAATTGACTTACGTGTCTTTTGCATCTCTTCTGTTCTTTCCAATTTTTTGGTGTACGTGTCTTCTTGGCCTTGCATTGTTTGGGTGAAGCTACGTGCAACAGAACCACGTGCAATCTCAACCGATTGCCCAGCCAACCAAAGCCCGCCATCTCTTCCTCCTAGAATTTTATTGTGTTTCGGTGGATCAAATTTGCAATCAAACGATTCTCTCTCTCGCTGTGCTCCCAATGAACCCAAGCACAAAATAAATTATCCGGCCAACAACGCTGCCTGTTGAGCAAAGATTTATATGTTTGATTCACAAACATGGCCTGCTTGTCTTGTTTCAACAGAGATTCCAAGTTTTGCGAACTATTTGGACCTTTATATTGGCAAAGCGGTGCTTCAATGTGGTTTGCATCAGAATAGCTGGTATGTTCTCTCTGTTTATTATTCTGTCTGCTTCTATTTTCAATTGTATGTCTGTTTCGATTTAATGTTATACATTCATGGCATTATTTTATTTATGTTTTGTTGTCTTTATGATTTATTTACCATGTGTTTGCAAATATGTTTGAATAAGAGACTTAGATGTCTTAGCCTCCACAAATTGTTCACCATGTGTTAGGCAATATGTCTGAACCACAAATTCAAAAGAGAATAAAATTGAATCACTTCCCTTTGGCTTAGTATTTATTTTGTAGGGTATTGTTGATTTTGAATTATGGTGGCCTTAACACATGATCGTCTTGTTCTCCATATGGTTAAGCATTAGCAGCTATCACTTTACCTGTCGTTTTCTACTTTGTTTTGGAATCATCTAGGAAATTAATCTTTAGGAGCCCTTGTTACTTTTCTCCTTGTGGGATTCCTCTTTTTGTTTCTTTTTCAAAAGGCCTTTTTATATATATATATATATAAATAAAAATAAAAATTGAATCCATTTTTTTTTGGTGGAGTGGGATGTGATGGTGTTGAATTGGTAATGTTGGAGTGCTTTATCTGATTAGGCTTATATGATTGCCACATCTATATTGTTCATTTATCCACAGCTTCTAAGCTGAATATCATGCTTCATTTTTTTTCCTCCTATTAACTGGCCTATTCTTCTTCTTCTTCTTTTTCTTCATCAAGATCGGTATCTAGTTTGCAAAGTGGTGGCTGTTTCGATTTTTAAAAAATTCTATTCCTGTAAGCTAATTACGATTTTTCTTTCTTTTTTTCTATCCATATCTGGAGTTTTTTGTGATTTGAATTTTTATCCTTACTGTGCTTTTTTGCAAAACTTGGGAATTTGAATATACCTGATTTGTATATTTTGTTCTGTGTTTCTTCAATTCGAGAATTAAACACACCCATCTCTCTGTATATTCTGGTTTAGTGCGTGTCTCTTTGAATATGCCTAATTTGTATATGCTTAATGGGTTTAGTGTTTGTGTTTTGTGTGTGTAAATTTTGGCTTTAGTATTTTGTTTTGGGTAGTGATTTCATTTAAAATTGATCCTTAGGGAGCTTACGGATTGACCTGGTAATTTTTAAAATGTCTGCCTTATTTTATTACCTTTTGTATTTTGCTTTCTCTTTATCTGGTTCATTACAATTCAAGTTTTTTTCATGTTACAGGTTGCTATTTTTTGGTAGTACAAAACAAATTCTTGGCAAAGGAGCTTTTCAAGACAGTGTGTCAACCTCATTTCCTCATATTGTTTTGAACTTTTGTTGTGTGTGATATTTTCCTAACTTAAAAAAAAATTATTTTGGTCTGTTCTTTGTGTAGTTTTAGAGCATTTGATGACTATGAAGGGATTGAATTACAGTGGAATCAAGTGAAAAGATCTATAGAGGTTGTTTTGTGAAATTCAATACCAGAAAACACAATTACATATGTGTGGTAGCTTTAGTTATTTAGTGCTTTCATTATGCTATGAAATATGTTGTCAATGAGAAACACAATAATTTAGATTTATTTAATTCTGCAATTTTTCCCTACCTGTCTTTCTCCCTGCAGTTTGCAGTTAAAAATATTCAAGATGATGATTAAATTTTGGTTAGTTGGGGTTATAATTTTAGGCTTACATTGCAGGAATCATTCTTCAACAGTTAACAATTGGAGGTAGAGAACTCAATGCTTGAGAGACGAGGCATTGCTTATGATACAGTTTTGTTATATAACAGCCGGTAGTGGCCACAAGAGACATGGTTCATTCTTGACATTCTCTAATATGAGTTGTTTGGGTCAAAAAATGTAGGGTTCTTTGTTTGTTGGACTTTTGTGAGCACTTGAAATTTGGTGAAATTAGTGTTTAGTCGCTTTGTATTTAGTTTCCCACAGCAAACACTTATCTTAAAATGTTGGGTTACCAAGTATAATTTATGTCAAGATTGATTTGTTTAACCTTGGTTATTTAGGTAATGGATTTAAATTTTGTGCCAGCTAAAGAAAGAGATAATGGCATTTCTACCAATCATTGCTTCAATCACTCGGTCATCTCCCTTCTATTCAAAAGGTACTTCAATTCTTGCTTATTTTGCAGCCTATGCATACATAATAAGCACATGGTTTGATTACATTATTTTTATCATATGCCTTAATGTAAATTCTGAAAATAAAAAGTAGATGGTTGATTCTTTTTCAAAATAGCAAATAAATTTAACAAACATTTTTACAAAATTGTAATTTATTTTGGGTTTGCTTTAATTAGAGTGGTGCTAAATATTGTTACACATGAAATATATTGCACCATTTTTTGAATAATATTATTCCCTTTATTTTGGGTTTGGAACTTTCCAGCTAAAACCTTGTGATCAACTGTTGAGTGGATCTTGCATTTATTGGATTAATCAATTGATTTGTATTGCAAGTTGTAATGTATTAATTTGTTAGATTAATTAATTATTAAACTGATGAAATTGATCTACGTTGATGCTTTTTTGGATTGTTTCCTTAATGCTAGTTTGATGATTAATTATATAAATTGTGTTTGAATTTCCTAATGGAGCTACAAAATTAATACTTGCATTGTTGGGTTGATGCCGATATAGTGGAAGTTTGAAGAGGTAATGATGATGAAAAGGTGGCAATAGGGCTGCTTGATGATTTGAAAGGTTAGTTTGGTTCTGCAATTTTCTAGCACCAAAATTTTTCTCAATTAACAAGAGTGTTTGGTCTTATGTGTTTCATTGCTGTTGCTTTTTCTTGCATATCCCTATGCTCATGAAATTGTGTATATTTTTATTGAGTCGTATCGGTTCACCATCTTCTGCTTTTTTTGCAACCGAGCGTTACATGGGCTTTCCACAATATAGCCCTGTTTGGTAGAGCTGTGGGAAAGTGCTTATAGCTTATGCCTAAACAGCTTATAGCTTATAACTTTCAGCTTAAGCTGATTTCCAGCTTATTCTTAAAGCATCTCCTGCCCCACTCAAAGAATAAGCTGATTTCTGACTTTCACAAAGCTATTAGCTAAACCAAACACATCAAAATAGCTTAAATTAAGCTGAAAGCTGAAATAAGCTGTAAATAATTTCTGCCAAACAGGCACTATGAGTATCAATCTGGAAATCCCATTGTGTCCTCCCAACAACCCGAGAATTATGATCTGCATACTCCATCATATCTATCTACAGGGGATAGTTTTTATTTCGATACGCCAGGGCAAGAAGATCCCAATTTGCAGTCCAAACATGCCCTGCAATCTGATGCGAAATCCCACTTTTGTAGCAATAAAAACTACAGTTCTGATGAAAGATCCTGTAAAACTCCATGCAACAATTTCTCAGAAAGAGAACACATTTTTCTGCTGAAAAGAAAGTTGCTCAGTGATTTTGATAATTCAGATATGAGGCAGCCTTCAATTCCTTTTGAAGGAAATCGGGATTTTTATAACTTCACGTTCAATGCATTGATTCATGTATGGTGTTCATTTATTTATTTATTGGTAGCTATGTTTGGGTGCTGGGAAAATTAATTTGGCATCTTTTTTACTTCATTTTCTTATGTTTTCTCTTTTCTTTTCCTTTACCTCCACAACCCATGATCCAAAAAAAGGGATTAATCTCATCCTGGTTATATCTATGTATACATGACAGGTTTGTCACAATTTGTATAATTCTCAGCATCAGCATTTGAGGCAGTCTGCAGCTAGACCTGCTGGAGGTGTTTCAGTTACTTCTGGTAACTCTGGATCGGCCATTTCGAGTTAAACACGAATTCGACGGACTCAAGATCTTCATGACTGCTTTGTCGAGTGTGTAAATCACCTCGGTCGAGCAGAAAGTGAGTAGCTTTGACATGACCCCGTTGTGCAGGTATAGAAACAACTATTATTAATTGATCATTAACCCTTTTTTTCAATCCAAATTTTGGAGGCAACACCAAAGGCGATACTGAAGCTAATGGACTCAGAGGGGTTGACCATCTTTCATGTGAAAGGCCATTTGCAGGTACTAATAACATTTTAAAGAACTTTGTTGTTTAAGCCCTATTTGGTATCTTGATGTTAGAGATCTAACGTGATTGTTTGTCTTTCTTTTTCCATTTGCTTTGTAGAAATATCGAATTGCAAAGTACATGCCAGATTCTGCAGAAGGTAAATCTAATCCTGAATAACACTAATTGATCATTGAATTGATTTTGATCATTTGCGATAGTGTACTAAAATCTGATCTTAAGAACATATATAGGGCCTGTTTGTTACAATTTATTCGAACTTGAAACTCAATTTATAAGTATAATCTAAAAAACAATTCCTTCGCAGCTCCACGATAATTAGTTTTTTAATGTTATTTTGCCCCAAATTTGAAATAAAAAATAAAAAATACATAAGCGGCATCAATAACTGCGCCACACAGGGCAATAGAGCATTCCACAAAATTAAATCATGTCATGTATTGTTCTGATGAGAAGAAACTCCTCAGATATATATATACACACACTTGCAATTAGATGTGAATTATTATGCTGTTTTCCTCAACTTGTTCGATTAATTATGCATTTCATCTACTTTAAATATATCAAACACATCAATCAGGCGAGTCTAGGAATAAATTCTAATAATCTCAATCTTTCTTCCTTCGTCAACTGTAGGAAAATCTGAGAGGAAGAATAACATGAATGATGCAGCACAGATTGATATAAAAGCGTAAATTTTCAAAGAATCGCTTGTTTTTATTTGTTTGACATATTGTTGAATGGCATTAGTATTTTATTTGTTTGACATAATAGCCTTTTAATTTTTTTTTTTTTTTTCCTTTAAATTTGCTTAGTAGGTTTACATTAGATAGTTTGAGGAAGAAGTGGAACTTCTTCACAACCTGTTAGTAAAAACTATTATATAATTGTTGTTTCATTTCGTTTGAGGCTTTTGAGTATTAAGGTGTGTTTGGCTTCAGTCAAACTGTTGTAAATTGTTGCTTCATATTGGTGTTTGTCTCTTCATTCACTCTAGAGAGGTGGCTTTTGTTTCTATTTGATAAAATAATTTGAAAAGTTTTTGTCTTGAATCTGCAAGTGCAACCATGACAAGAGTGTCTGATTTAAATAATCTAAATTGTAAAGTAAGCTATCTTTTTTACTTTTTTATTTACAATATGCCAATTACAATTGGTTCTGAACACTTTCTCATGATTAGAACCTGTGTCAACATGTTGTTTTTTCATCTCCTTTTAGCACAAATGCATATCAATCTATCATATGAAGATGGCATTGATAGACTACAAGATGATTTTGGCTTGTCTTGTAGGTAACGGGACTGACATGGGGCATGTGGGATGCAACTATCTTCAGTATACATCAAAAAGTTATCCTTGGGGCTGATGTGTTATATGATACAAGTGGTAGGATTATTTTTGTTGAGCTACTATTTTTTTTCTTCTTTTGCTCCATTAAACTGAAGATGAGATGTATATTGTGCATCTATTGGCAAGAATTTGATTATCTCTTTGCCACTGTGACATTTCTACTCCAAAATTCTCCAGGATCTGTTTTCATAACAACCTATCACAATAGAAGGTATTTTTCATATGTTTCATACTTTAACGTTATTTTGTGTTGGCAGTTTACATTTTAACAATGTTAATCTTTGAATTTTATTAAAAATGCATTATGTATTTATATATTTGTTTTGTTTTGTGCAGCGAGCATCATCTAATTGAGTTCTTGATGGCGAAGTGAGGGTTGAAGTGCACGAAACTTCTTGATGGGTTTTTATTTATGCCATCATACAAGGCATCTAGGTTGGCAGAAATTGTTTTGAATAGTGAAGAGGTGAGGTAACATATGCCAAAAATTAGCACTAAAAGTTGAATGGTGACACAGCCTCTCTGATTTTTAACCTTGTTCCATAGAGATATGTCAATTAGTTCAAATTGTATTTTTGGTGTATGTCATATTGGTTTTGAATTGGAATTTATTTGCCGTATTTTTTTTTGGGGTTAGATTTGAGGTTTTTATGTTATTTGATTGCCCGTGAAGATATTGTCCATGTTTTTTGGATTTATGTTGTCTTCTTCTTCTTCTTCTTCTACTTTTTTTTTTTTTGGTAGATTTGTATCGGTGACAATTTAGACTTCTTGATGACAATTTTGCTCCTCCAATATCCACATACACATTAATGCAATATGTGAATGTATAGTTTAGCACGCAAATCCTTGACCCCACTACACTAGTATTTTTGTCTGTATATAGCCGGTGAGCATAGCTCTTCTTGATATGGATGGGTTTCGTTTATTTGAAAAATTAAAAAAAATAGAGTAACAGTTACTAATTTAATCGCGCATGGGGTCCAACTAGTATAACATAAAAAAAGAAAGAAAAATGAGTATTCCCCATTAATAGTCTGTCCAAAAGTGGAGCTGTTGGATGGAAAATGCGGGGGAACCCCAGTGAGGGGCGACCCCCAGCGACCCCCAGCCCACGTGGCTGTGGGTGATTGGCCAGAAAAGAAAAAAAAAAAAAAAAAAAGAAAACTGGCGAATGGCTGTTCGCCACGTCACTGGGGGTCGACCCCCCAGTGGGGGTCTGTAGCAGGACTCGCTGTTGGATGGTGAAACTAATTATATTTTTAAAATGATTGCTGGCTGCCTGCAATGCAAAAACTTAATTTGGATTATGAATTTGAATAGAAATTTAGAAAGGGAAAAAAAATATGTAAAATTTATGATTTAAATACTGTCTTAATAATTTTGTGATGTCATGTAATTTTAGACTTAATTGAAATTTAACTCTAAATCTAAACTAAAATCTGATAGCCCAAAAATATACAAAACACTCTCTCCTTCTCTCTCAGCTCTCTATCATTAGTCTCTTTTCACTGTCCCTTACCCTTTCACTAACACATAGCAACCATTGAAAGTGTCATCTAAATAAGGGGTAATTATTTAATATTTTCGGAATATGAACACGTGGTGTTTCAGAATATTTTGATTGATAAAGAAGGGTAGAGACTCACGATTTATGTTGAGGATAAGAGAACAACATGAAGGTTAAATAATTGGTTATTAAGTGTAATGTTCCAAAATTATTAAATAATTTCCCGTAAGTAACACATAGCAACAATTGTAAGTGTCATGTAAGTTGAAAACATATAGAAACATTAAGGTAGCGTTTGATAGAGTTTTCTAAATATGATTTGAGAATATAGTTGTATTTTAAGTTTGTAAGTTTTGAAATTATGATTTGAGTGTGGAAAATTTGTTTGGTGAATGAGTTTTGAATTGAGTGAAATTTTTTTGATGTGACATGATATTTGATACAAAAATTTACAACTTATAACTAAACATACAACTCAAAAATCAATTAAAAGTTCATAAAAAATTTTAAATTTTTTTGAAAATATTGTTTTATTAAAAAAAATATATATAAAAAAGTGCCAATTGCCAAAAAAAAAAAAAAATTGCCATGTTCCGGTTGACCGGTCAGATGACTGGTTTCGCCAAATTTCAAAAAAAAAAAAAAAATTTTGCTTGACACAGAGTTTTCTGTAGAGTTTTCTTTTTGTTGTGAAAATATAATTTGAAAGATGTAGCCTTAGAATATGGGGGTAAAATTATAGTTTGAAAATCTATCCAAACACAGCCTAAGGTTTTGGATTCGTTTGGAAAGTGAGTAAACTTTTTAACTTTTTAGTTTTTTGACTATTTTAATTTGGGGCTAAAAAGTTTTGTTTGAGAAAAAGAATGTAATAATTATGGGTTGGATGTGATATTTTATCTTATTGAACTAAAAAACCTATTTTATTTTTTTATGACTATTTTAACCAAAAAAACCCCAACCTCAACTTTCCAAACAAATGCTTTGTTTGGGAAGTTAAAATTTTAATAAAAAAATCATTAAAAATATCAATTCCTAAACAAGCCTAAAGATCAAAATAAAAAACAACAAATAAAAAAAATTTAAGAGTTAAAATCAGAAAATACTAAAATTTGAAAACAACGAAATGTAATTTATCCTAACAAAATATAAATATGATATATTAAATAATGATATCATATATTTCAATCTGAGTATGAAATTTATCAATGGTGCTATATGCATTAATTAGTATACTAACTAATGTACCAATACTAATAATGATATTATTATTGACCTCACTCATTATACTAATTATAAATACCCAAAATATTTTAAATTATATCACATCATTAATTAGTACACTAGTTAGTATACTAATTAATACATATAGTATTATGGATAAATTACAAATACACCTTGTAAGGTTTGCTTAAAGTACAGATTGTTCCCTGTGATTTGAAAAATTACAAATACCTTCTTGTTTGAATTTTTTATTTAACATGATTAACTAAAAAAATAAAATTCATAATTGCTTTCTTATACAATAATAAAATTACTTAAATTATTAATTGAAACATATTTCTAACATCATTAAAAATTGTTAATTGATTTGATGATTTATTAATAGAAGGGACGATTTGTTATGAAATTAGAAATCTCAGGAGGTGAAATGTAATTTCTAAAACCATAGGGGACGATTCATATTTTATTCAAATCTCAGGGGTGTATTTGTAATTTATCCTAGTATTATTCTAAAGAATAATATTACATGCACCAATTAATGTATTAACTAATATACTAATTGATGATGTAACATAATTTAAGAGATTTTTGAGATTTGTAATGTACTTAATGAGTGGGGTCAATAATAATGACAACACTAGTTAATTCACTAATTGGTGCATGTAGTACTACCATATTCGAATTTTATTTCAATGTTACTTAAAATTTGATACTTGCATTAAATGTTCCTAAGCTAAGAGAGAACTAAAAGCGAAATTAGAGGTAATTTGGTTTAGTCATCAATTTTTTTAATATAAAAAATGAAATATTGTAATAATTAAATCTATTTATTATTTCATGCATATTAGTAAACCCTACTTTTTATGTTTGTATATATATATATATATAATGACGTTTAAGATAAACAAATTTAATACAAAATTCAAAAAAAAAAAAAAAAAGAAGTAAAAAGTAGCGGTGAAATGAAACTGTATTTGTTATTAAAAATAATACTATAATAAAATAAAATCGAAAAACATAAAGAGGAAGAAGAGGAAGAAGACTATGGGCTTTCGGCGAACCGCAAGGACAACGCAACTTCCCGCATTTCGCAAGAGACGCAAAAGAATAAATTTTTTCCCCTTAATTTTACTTCATTAAATTAAATTAAATTCTTCATTCCATTTTTCTTCACCGACCAATTGATCTGTTAATTTAATCAATTATATATATATATATATATGTTTCGAAGATTGATGATAACATTTGAATGGAAGATTATCATCGACCATGAATGCTTGTTTCTCAATTACAACCTCCGTCGGTGGTGCGTCTCATTTCTTTCGCGATTAGAGCTTCAGTTGTTTGTGTTTCGAATTTGTTTATTATTTATTTATTTATATTTGAAAAAGCTTTGCTTGAAAGTAATTGCAAGGAGTCATCTAAAGTTCCGAAAGGGTTTTGTTTTGCTGTGAATGAGTGCCGTACAAGTAAACCGCCTTTTTTCTTATGCTTTCTATATGTTTTGGCCGTTGATCGATTCGAAGAATCGCTCTGGATTGCTGTTCAAACTATCCCCTTTTATGGTTGAGATTGTTGGTTAAGAGCATTTACTGCTTTAGATTCACATGTTGATGTACGAGCTATGAGTAACATCACATTTGTCTTTTCTATTTTAGAATTCATCATCATTGATAGTGGATTTGGTATCTAATTCTTCATACACATACATTTTTCCTTCTTTTTTTATGTTTGTTTGTATTTACCTCAAAAATTGAGGAGCAAGTAAATATTTTAAAAATTTATGATTTTGTGTATTTTGTAAGTAGAAAGTGATTCATTGTCCAATGGATAGGTTCATGCTCTGTTTCCATCACTTTGAAAGAGAAACCAAAAAAAAAAAAAAAAAGACAGGAAGAAAGTGCACCTACATACACACCCCAGTTATATCTTCATGTATTTTGAGCTGCTTCCATAGATTTTCAAAAAAAGTTGAAATAGCTCATTTCTTTTGTGTTTGATTTCAGGCAAATGCATTGATTCCGTGCACAACCATGAATTCCATGTGCATCCTTGCTTGCTGGTACGGAGGTCAGAAGCTTTGTCCTATCCGTTATTTTGGGGGGTTTAGTATGTGCTTGGGTTTATCACCACATTCTTGGAAGGGAGTAGTAGTAGCTGAAATGAGGATGAATTCCATAGATGCATAGCACTAGCTCCTTAATGGATTTGGGAATTGCTTTTCATTGAACTGTTAGCTGAAGTTACGGGACATTTCAATTTCTTCATTAATTTTAGTGGCATGGTAGTAGAGACGCAACTTGAGTTTTATGTGTTCAGAACAAGGATGATAACTGCACCATGTTCATTTGGCAAATCTGAGTAGAGATTTGTGAATTCACTGCAATAGGAAAGGAGACTATCGACAAGAAATCTTTTAGGTCTTTTTAAAATTAGTGATGGGCTTGCCACAAGTTTCATCAAGCGAAACAGCTGAAGAGGGAGCAGGGTCTTTGAGCACATCTGTGTGCACTCCGCCACATTTTGTTGGTGTGAGCACTTGTGATTTGGATGGAATGCATGTGGGAAGTATTAGCCAAATTGTTGGAGACTCCTTGTGTTCTTCTTTAGGAGACTTTCAGAAGAAAACGTCTTTGGAGCAATCAGAGACTCCAGATGATTCGTTTAATTGTAAAGGGGCCATGGAAGGCATTCACCCTATATCCAATGCTCATGGATTGAAAATTGGTTCTGAGGATAAACTTGGTTTGTTAACACCTAAAACTGGTCAGAATATTCAGAGTCCTGCTTCTAGAATTGTGGGCTTTGAGTGTGGTAGGAAGGATTATTTCTTAGATCGATTCGACGAGGTTTCAACTGATCATGTTAATTCTTCTTCTGTAGTTGGTATCACAGTTAATGAAACTGAGTCCAGTGGGTCACCAGTGAGGAAGCGATTGTTGTCTCCCTTGTGTGGTGTCCTATTTGCAGACCAATTTGGTGGTGATTCTATAGATATTCGCTGCCACAACTCTCAAATAAACACACCTGATAGTTGTAGTGTTTCTATACCGCAAGATTATAAGAAAGCAAATATTGGAAGTAGAAACCATTTCACCATGTCCACATCTAATTGCTCAGAAAGGAAGGATATGTTATGTGATTACAGTAGGACAGCCCCCATTTTTTCCATTGATGGCCCTTTACTGAAGGAAAAGGAGGTGTTGCCTTGTACGTGTTTATCTTCACTAGGATTAGATGTTTTGAGAGGCTCAAACAAGGTAAGAAGCCAAACTGGAGTGATATCCATATTCCCGGAAAAGGCGATCTCATCCCCTCTTTCTTTGTCTCCTCTTGGTCCAAAATATTCTGAAATGATGAAAACTGCTGAAGGATGCAGGACTGTCAGGAAAGAGATAGAAGGTAATTATTTAACCTTTAAAAATGTGGAACAGTCACTTGGAAAAAATATCTCAGACATTAACTTTGCCCCTGAAGAAGAGAATTTTTGGGTGGCTAGTAAATCATTTGAAGATATTACTCATTTGCACAAAGAGGCCTACTCGGAAAGCAACTATGGAAAAAGTTGGACTTCATCTCATGATACCATACCTCAGTGTGTGAAATTGGGTAGAAGTTCGAGAGGACTTCCTGTTAGGAGATCATTGGTTGGTTCTTTTGAGGAATCCCTGCTGTCTGGCCGGTTGTCTTCTGGAAAACTCAGTCAGGTTTTATTCACGTTACGTAACCTTTGTAGCATTTCATGTGTGCTGATTTTATTATTTAATGTAGTCTTGAGAACTTAGTGTCCATTCTTGGATCTTTGTTGTGCAGAGAATTGATGGGTTTTTAGCTGTTTTAAGCATTACTGGTGGCAGCTTCTCACCAAAATCACAGAAACTGCCTTTTGCAGTAACCAGTGTTGATGGAGATAACTACTTACTGTACTATGCCTCCATAGATCTCGGAAGAATTCCATCAAACAATTTTGCAGGACAAAATTTGAAAAGTGGCCTTAGTAATGTTGATTCACAAGGTGCTACAAGTCGTCTGCGTATTCCTGTGAAAGGGCGCATACAGCTGGTTGTATTTTTCTCCCTGAATTATTAATTACTATTTGGGCCCATCTGCATTCAGTTTTCAGTGTCTATATTACGTTGCGTAGTACTTAAATACAGTTGTCTAGCATATGTTACTGTTCTCATAATATGGGGTGGTAGAGAATGTAATTAACTGCTGTTGAAATTACCGTTTGTTTGAGAATCTTCCAGATGTTGTGTGACATTTTATTTAGGCATTTGGTTTAATTCAGGACATTTGTTGCTGTGACTTTTTCTTGTTTATTGATGTTGTTGGAACATTAATGAGCCAAAGTTGATAAGAATGTCCTGATCTCCTAAGTTGATTCAGGATATTTCTACAGCTGTTTGGTTTCATGGTTCTGACTCTGATGTACTGTTTGTTCTATAAATACTAAAGGCTAGTTTGGCATGTACTAAATAAGCCAAAAAGTCAAAAAGTCACTATCTTATTTAAGTCACATCATCTTATTTAAATCACATCACCAAAGTTGATAAGAATGTCCTGATCTCCTAAGTTGATTCAGGATATTTCTACAGCTGTTTGGTTTCATGGTTCTGACTCTGATGTACTGTTTGTTCTATAAATACTAAATATGCTGTACTGGACATGAAATGAATTGGACATAGTTACCTGTTACTCAACCTCTTCTTTTTTTTTTTCTTTTTTCTTTTTTCTAATGAATAAAACGAAAAGCATCAAGACGATGCTAACAAACAGGAAACCCATTCCTGAGCACAAAGAATATCAATAAATTCCACAAAAGCAAACAAATTTGCGGACACTCATATGATGATGGCTCCCACCACCCATGGCCCACATATACCACAAGGCATGTGGCTCTTTTATCAATTGTAATGTCCCCGTCCCGAACTATAAAGAGATTGTGTGCTTTGGGCTAGGCTCTCATGAGCCATGGCTTTAAAATGTCCCTCGCTGGGGAGGGATGCGAACCTACTTATGTAGCAAGGGAAATTTTCCTACCAAATTGATGTTAGACAGGACATTAGAACAACTCCCTAGAATTTAACCAATTGAATACCGCTACATACAGTTGTGTTTCAAAATTTATTATGCTGAACATGCATTAAGTGCTTTTATGCATACAGAAGCAGCATATGGAATTGCGCAATGTCAAAAGGCATAATATCCTTTTGCACAATTTTTAACCAAGTAAAGGTTGACACCTTTGTGTCATAAGTGTCTTACACGATGATTGTCAATAGACAGTAGTGTCCTAAGGTTCTTCGATACCAGCATCATATTTCAATGGCATAACTTGTGGCGTACTGGTGAAAGAATTGGCTCTTACTTTCTATCTGGATTGTTTTCGCAGGTTCTAAGCAACCCGGAAAAAACACCTCTGCACACATTCTTTTGTAACTATGATCTGAGTGACATGCCTGCTGGTACCAAGGTAAGTTTGAGCAAACACTGCGTTCTATTTCAAAGTTGTTGCATGTCAGGTGTAGATTGGTGCTTTAACTTTATAATTTTTTCTGGATTATATATATATATATATATTAAGTCTCCCTAGTCCCTTTCTGTAATATATTAGTGGCCATTCTTGGTGCAAGTGCACAAGCATAGGCTGTATGGTGTGAAATGCAAGTTTGAGTATGAGCAGCCACTTTGTGCAAATATGCCAAAGACCCGGGCCGTACGTGGTCTGCCTTCCTGCTACTCTCAGCACCCTGCTATAGCTGGATTGGCACTGGGCAATGTCCTTTGGCAGTGTCCTGTGGAAAACTATTTAGGCAAACACAAGTTTCTCATCTGTGCATATTCCCTTGGATGCTAACATTGGATATAAAGTGAACATTATTAAGAGTAAGTGTTTCATTTCTGTTTCCATCTCTCTCTCTCTCTCTCTCTCTCTCTTCCTGGTTATTTTAGAATCCACTACTCATATGGAGAAATGAGGGAAAATGTGCTCTTAAAGCTAGAGTTGTGTTGTTTGTTGATGTGAAGTGTTTATGTAGGAATTATAAGACCATATGCTAATCAAGTTAAATATTTAAATATGAAATTTCAAGAGGTGGTACAAGATAGCAGTTATTTATGAAGTTTAGTTTTGTCCAATAAAAAAAAAAGGATAAGAAACTGAGCTGAATTTGTTCTTCTTGATAATTGCTAAGGGAGCAACGGACTGACTACTCACAGGCTAACTTAAATAGTTGATGAAGTATGGAAAACTGAGGGGATCGTTGAGGTCTGTACCCAATATATGAATGGTTTTGCCATTGACAAATCATCCCAATCATAAATTTTAGAGGACTCAAAAATGAAAATTTTGATATGAACTTAACTGGATGTGACAAGAAGATATTTGAAATCTTGCAGTTTAAAACATGAATGATGGTTTGTAGTGGAATGACAACATAGAAATCATGCATCCCCCCAAAGCTCTGTACTTAAAAATGAAAAAGGGTGGAAACGATATAAATTCTTGGGTAGGTTGTCGTGAAGAATGATACCCAAGATCTGGTAGGACGTATCCACTGAAAACATCACCCTTGTTTTTGCCTTTGATTGGAGCTTTCAGAGACTTGAGGCTTCTCACTGTCAACCTCATGCACTGACCTTAAATTGACGCTACCTTGCCCTGCCTCAACTATCATTCTAGTTTGGGCAAAATCAAAACACAATCAGACAACAGCCAGCAATCCCTTGTTTTCCTGTTTCAATGTGCTTATATAAATTCACATGAAGCATTCCCATTTCTAGATTTGTGCCTTGACTAGGATATCTTTTTGAGTTAGCCTGGAGGTCAGACTACAACAAGTGGGTATATATGGCCTTGCCTCTGTGTGGGTTCCCCATGAGGGCCCCTGGTGCGGTGCTTTTCCAAATATGGTTGGGCCGGTAGGATAAAATTGGCCTACTTCTAGGAAGGAAGGCTTGGGCAAAGGCTTGTTCTACCATGCTTAAGAGAAAATGTTAGAAGAGAGATAATCAGGCCCATTAAAGACTTAATAACGGGAAAATTCAACGGGGTCTTTTAAGATTTGATATCCACTTCACATGAATACATGACAAATAACTGTTATTTTTATCAGCACATCACTGCACTGTTGTTTTCCTAATACGCTTTTGTTCTACTTCTAGTAAGGGGGTTTGAATTCAGTTGGTGCTTATTTTTGTCTCTTTGTTTGAATTGATGTAGACATTCTTGCGTCAAAAGGTCACCCTAGCCACGTCTGGCTCAGCTTCTCCACAGGTGAGAAGAGAGCAGAGAAACTTTGATATGATCTATGATGATAAGGTGATTCCCTTGGAAAGAAGTCATCCTGACCAAAGTATCAAAGGATGGAAGGGCTCTAATTCGATGGGTTCAATTGATAAAGCAAATCCATCGAATGAACACTATCATATGGGAAATATAGGTTCCCCTGCCATGATGGTTCAGAATGAATGCAACAAACATGTGTGCCAGAGAACTTGTGACACAGATTTCAGCCTGGCAGATTCATGCCAAGAAGCCATAGGAAAATCAGAATATGCTTGTTCAAAGGTCAATGAGAATGCTGCCAGTGTTGGTACTCTACGTTACGCACTTCATCTCCGTTTTCTATGCCCATTTCCTAAGAAAAGTTCTAGATCAGTCCAGAGATGTAAATCCAATCCTCTCTCTGAGTCACAAAAGACTAACTTTGATGCTGAAGGGGAACTGAGATTTTATTTATACAACAATTTGAGGGTTGTGTTCCCTCAACGCCATTTTGATGCTGACGAGGGGAAGGTATGGTGCTTCAATTTCACACATTGGGGCTTAAGATTGCTTTTAGACATGATTCAGAATTTTTTCTATTTTATATGGTGTTGATGCTTCTTATATTGCAAATGTGTATTGAAGTTCTGAACAGGAAAGAAAAGAAATCCATTTTTTAACATCTGAGCTTGCTGTTTCATGGCAGTTGAATGTGGAATACCATTTTCCAGCAGATCCGAAATACTTTGATATCAGCAACTGAAATGTCAGACCGTCTCCTCAGTGTATGGTTTTGTTGTTGTCAATGTATATACTTGTAACATGTTCCTTGAAATGGCACTAACACAGTTTCACCTGTAAAAACTTTTTTCTAAATCACCAATAATGCTCGTCTTTGTTGTTGTAACCTTTTTTAGTATTGAGGAATCTCTCTCTCTCTCTCTCTCTCTCTCTCTCTCTGTGTGTGCTCAATATGTAATGTCCTAAATCGTCATTCAACAGCGTGCTTTTGATTTTTTTATTTATTTTTAAACTCAGTGAATGCCAGAAGGCTTCACTTTTGAACTAATTTGTAAGTGCATAGCTGCTATCTGAACCTTGTGTAGCAGTGTTGCGCAGAGTTATAAAGCACAATTGTAGCACAAAATTTGGATGGGTGGTTAATTGTGATTATGATAAATGGTCAAAGATGTTTCGTCCACAAATTAGTCTCACCTTAATCTAATTACTATTAATATTTTTAGGATAGGAGATGCAGAATTCAATATCATGATTAATTTGTATTTATTTTTGTTCATGAAGGGTGGGAAGTCGAGTGAAAAACATGTAGTTAGGCAGTATTTGGGTGGAACGAATGGGAAATTTGTGATGGGCTAAGTTTTGGGTTTTAGGTAGAGTGTTAATCTTGCAACCGTATAAAATACAATTTGAAAACTCTTGATATATATATACACATATATAATATAATGTTATCTTGTCCAGTCATGAAAGGTGAGTTTGTACAGAAATTAATATGACAGAAGCATTAATGAATAAATCACATAATTGCAAGTGGAACTAGACGCGAGTGTCCTGATTTGCAAACACTGTAATGACTGATTTCAGCCCATCTGGTTCAAGATATATTCCTTGCCGTCACATACACACACACAGGGGAGGTGACACCTCCAACAACAAAGCGATCATCCTAGTATAAAACTATTATAGGAAATAAGGAAGACCCTAGTGAGCTTCAAATTACCACACACATACCCTACATTTTCATGCAATTCTCTCTCTTTCTCTCTCTCTCTCTACATCCCTCATATCATATCAATCATATATATCATTAGTCATCTGGTGTCAAACAACTATATGTTGGTATATGGATCCCAGCCTAGTTTCTTTTTTTGGATCCCAACCTACTTTTATTAGGCTAAAAGTAACAACATCTCTTTCTCTCTCATTCCCGTTTGGGCGAGTCAGGCACTCCCCCTCATATCATCACATGCTTGCCAGCTCGCTCTCTCTCTCTCTCTCTTTCCGTAGTAGTACGGAGGTGGGTTTGTGTGATTTTGCCAATTATACGATAGGAGTAGAGAGGGTTGAGGACGTGAACTCTGATACGGAATATATGGCACTTTTAGAAACTCCTTCGATGATTGGGTTGGGTGGCTGAGAGAGAGTTTCCACCACCAACCATACTTTATATACGTGTCTGCTTCTCCGATATTCACGCACCTCTTCTCTCTCTCCCTTGCTCTGCTATTGGCTCTTCTACCTGATATATATATATATATATATGGACACAGAGAGAGAGAGAGAGAGAGAGAGAGAGAGAAGGACAAATAGAGCCGGTATTGGAGCTGTCCGACATAACAGATGCTGCAGCCATGAAGGAAGCAAGTGTTACCACTACTCCTCCCTCCCTCCCTCCCCCCTGTCCTTTCCAGATCACGCCCTTCCATTCCATTACTTTCCTAAACCCCCATCTTATTTTACCATTCTACCCTCTCTCTTTTTTCTTACTTTTTTGTTTTTTTGGTATGTACTATATATGTAGAGAAAGAAAAGAAGGGAGTAATACTCTAATCACTCTACTATTATATTCGGTACACACTTTTTTATTGTGTCAAAATGAAGATTACAGTCGTGCTAATTTATTTCTAATCGCTCAACGTTGAGAATTTTTCTTTCGCGTTTCAAATTCTAGATTGTATATGTGTTCTCTTATCTTAATATTCTCTAACATAATTATTTCGTACCTTGTTTCATCAAATCACGAGAATGAGAGAGTATTTTGGTAATTTGCTACTTTGCTCGTTATTGATTTCTTTTACCAAGATAAGAAAGTCTGTTTTTATAAAATGTATCTTGTTACAATTATATTTTATTTGTTATACAAGTAATACTTTACCTATATTGTTCCTTTTTTTTTTTTTTGTACATATTTTTAGATATTAGACATAAGATTTTTTTTTATTGGACTATTAAACATAAGATAATAACACATAGATAAATACATATGTAGGGTTTACTTTAAAATGTATGTCTTTAAAAATGTTTGAATTGAATTTCTACTCACTCTATGTAGGTGGGGTTTGGAAATTTTTTTATTTTTTTTATTTTTAAAGTTGTATTTTTAGTTTTTTAAAATCTAAAAAAGCTTATGCATAATATAAGTGTTACCCCCAAAAAAATGTTAGCGGAAAAATTGAATTTTTAAATTTTTTTAGTTGCTTTTTTAAGTAAAAAACAGACTACTTTTTTTTTTTGGGTGGATTTATTTACTAAAAAAATAATCAAATTATTTTCTTAAAAATTATATTTCATGGATTATATTTCCCTAGAAAATATGAATATTTATTATGCTTAAAATACAACCGTAATAGGAGGAGACTTGTCAAAATTGCAATTGTGGTTGTGGTCGTATACCATTTTAATTTAATCTAATTGATATCGATATTCTAATTTCTATCCACTGCAAAGGGTAATGTCGTCCTTCTCATCTCATACAATGAAACTTTTTGAAGATAAATACAAACAAAAGCGCTAAAAACCCACTATAAACCCACACCCACCCACTGAGTCAGTCACTCCGTCACTAGTCTCGCTCTTTCTCTCTTCTCCCTTTCTTTGTTTGTGTGGTGAGAGGTGCTCAACACAACAATGGCAGACCCTGGTCTCTACGACTTCCTGAAACAGCCCACCGACCCCTCTACCGGAAAACCAACACAGTCGTCGAGAATGTTTTCATGCCTCTACTGTCCTCGCAAGTTCTACACTTCTCAAGCCCTGGGTGGCCACCAAAACGCTCACAAGCGTGAAAGAGCCGCTGCTCGCAGAAGCTTCACCGCCGACCATTCTGGTCTCCAGAACGACCCCTCCTCTACCGACCATCCTAATCCTATTCCTATTCCTATTCCTATTCCTAATCCAAATGCACCTTATTGGCTGGAACCGTTCCGATCCTTCCATGGCTCGAGCTCAGCCCCACTCGGAGTTCATGGCGGTGGGTCGACCCCTGAATCTCTCTCTCCGGCCGCTGATTCTGCAGACCACGTGAATCTTGACCTCTCACTCCGTCTATGATAACTCTGCTCGTAAGTTAAAGTTATATGATTGCGTGTGGGGATTTTTCTGAGCAAGTGAGTGAGTGAGAGCTTAGCATTGGAAGTAGAAAGGGAGAGGATGGATGGTTATGGTTATGGTTATGGTTATAGTTATGGTTATGGTTTTGATAGTGTAGGGATTAACTTTTCAAGCAGAGAGAGAGTCGATTTGATGGGTGGGTGTGTTGTTAAAGATGATCAAGTTTAAAGTTGTTTATATTCGGAGGGTTAATTCGGATGTTTTACATGTCTTTCACTTAATTAATCAACTTTATTTATGTTTCCAACTTGAGAGTCATCATGGGATATGGGAGACTCTAGCATTGATGTCTCTCTCTCTCTCTCTCTCTCTCTCTCTATATATATATATATATGTGTGTGTATATCCCTATACACATACGAATGTTCATGTTATGATTCATTTTCATGTTTTGATTTTTGCTTTTCTATTCTTTTACCTTTTCATCGTCAGAACAAGACAAAATGAAAGAATTTCGTTTAGCATTTTTTATTTTTTGTTTTGTTTTGTTTTGTTTTGAAAAGACCAAAGAAATTCAAGATTTTTCTCACTACTTATAACCCAGCAGGCCAGGCCAGCCAACTTTGTATGTATATATGAAACTAACAGTAACAGGTAGTTTTAATTTGTTGTCATTATTATAGTAGTAGTGAGTGTTCAGTATGAGTTGTTTGGATCAGAACTTGGACAGAAATTACGGCAGTTTGATCCACTTTTTATATATCATTTTCCTTTTATATATGTATGTATGTATGTATGTATGTATGTACTTACATGACTCTGCAAACATTAATGAATCATTGGCTCATCTCACGCTGGGCTGGGCTGGGCGGCCGTGATTTCCATGGAGCATTACTTTTGCATGTATTTATTTAATTATTTTTATTTGAAAAAATGTTATATATAATTTTATTTTTACTTAATTTTTGTAATCTCTAGATACAAATGAGCAAGTCTCATTTGCATTTATTATTTTGAGTCCCAAGCAATTGGATTATATTGCTGTGTTATTCCTCTTTTAATTGATAAGAACATTGTTGTTGTATTGGTGGGATATATTAGAAGAAACATTGCTGCCACTCTATCAGTAGACAAGGCACTTCCAAGTTAGCATAAACACAAAGAAAGCCCTGCCACATTATGACATAAGCTGTTATGTTACAGAGACCAGCTAAATTAATATTTCATAACTAAATCAATTTACTAATTGAATGTGCTCTTCTTTGGTGACCTTCAAAGTCTATCCATACAATTAAGAAAACAATGTTGTCATGATAACCTACCGTCTGATCAAGAATCTGAATTCCTATACTCACCCTTTTTTGCTCCTCTCTCTCTTCTTCTTCCGAGGAAAGTGAATCATCCAACAAGTGGTACAAACAAACCATGCCTGAAGAGCATACGACCGATGATGAAGATACCTCTATCCCAAGGAAACATATACATTTTTTCTGTGAATTAGGATGGAATTCACCTTTGACATGCAAAGTGATCAAAATTCAAATGTTGGGACTTCACAGTCAAAGCCATTTGTGGCCTGGTAAACTAATCGAGGCAATATATTCCTGTATGGGTCAGTTTCTGTTTTCTCCTTCAAAAATGCAATGCATCTCTCAACCTAGGACTTCACTTCTGTATACAGTTCTTGGGCTTTATCCCTGTTCCCTAATTCCAGTAGCCTCCCTTCAATCACAATATGGTATTTGCATTAAGAATGGGAACAAAAACAAACAATCCGGGGAGAAAATTAGAAACAATTCAAATATAAATGAAAATGATACAAATATCTGATGGAATGTTTATTGGAGCACGCCCACTCTTAAATATGAACCCTGTATTATACAATTGTCTAAAAATTCATCATCCAAACCCACTGCCCAATGTCAAACATAGATATAAAGTATATATGAAGCGACAATTACTCTCAAACATTAATCGTTTTGTGCAGCAATCTACTACATACTTCTAATAAAAGACTTGAGATTTCAGAAGGCCCAGAAAAATCAGAGAAACAATTTCAATGGGCACAAGATGAAGGAAAACGGAAGTTAGAATGAAAAATGCTATAACAAGAGATTCTTAGCCAATTATCAAACTTGTAATCCCAGAGTTAAACTGGGCTTGATTCAAGCATGGAACCATTTAATAAGCATACCTTCTGTTTCAATTGGCTTGCCAAAAAAGTAATAGAAACGGCCTGGAAATTTTGGTAGAATTAGTGGATAGTGAAAATCTTGTTTTGCAACCTCTCCATCAAAGTTTCTCCTGTAATGATGAGACCAAAAGAGAGATTGAAAGAAACAATCCCTCAGTGAAAAAGAAAACACCCACTATTGCAATTTTAAGTTCAAACTCATACAGTTTCTAGATGGTTGAAACTTGACAGAAGAAAAGGACATGTATCTGGTTCACTATGCGAGAATCCTAAAGTAGTTTGATCAACATTGGCAAGTTAAGAGTAGGTAACAACAGATTTTAGTTAATGGAATCTTTTTGGGAGTTTGGTTCTTTGAATAATATGATCTCCTGTTGAAATGCAAGAAAGGAACAAGATTTGGTAATGTTACAACTATCATAAGACCAAAAAGGCATGACTCCAAGGTTCTCTGCTTTCCTAAATCATCTGTGCAATGAAAAATGAGGTGTGAATCAATTGCAACTGCTTGGAATAACCATGTTTAGGTGGTAATCAATTGCAACTGCTTGGAATCACAAGAATTTTTTATTGTGCTTCAGCCAAACAGAAAATTGATTGTTGGCCTCTTAGTTGGTCTTGATACTTCACTTGGACTTTACATTACTAAATTCACAAGAAATGTTTCATATTCAACAATTTCTGCTATTTGATAAAACAGTAAGCAAAATGGGTCACAAACTTAGGCTGCCCTGTCTTCCTAAAATGGCTAGATTTTTTAACCTAACTTTTACTCCACCAAATCCATGATTTAGTTATGTTTTTCTTCCACCCAAATAAAAATACAAACCAAATCCAGAATCTTATTCAGCACTTATTTACAGATTTTGTCCCTTATGATTAAATTTCACATATTTGAGCATGGATCCTAACTCCGCCGGGGTTGTTAACAACTCCGCCGGTCCCAAGCCCGGGTTAAGGAGGAGGGTTGTGTGTTAGGTAGCCGACAGCCAACACGTAAAAAAGCCGCTCGGATCCCTTATGAAAATGAAATTTAGTAACAGTAACAATGAAAACAGAGGAGAAGTGAAGATTGAGAACCAAGAACTGCCTAAGAGTGAACATTTTCGTTATTTAGGGTCGATTATCACAACAGCGGGAGAGATTGATGCAGATGTGGCCCATAGGATTAAGGCGGGATGGTGTAAGTGGAGAAGTGCGTCTGGGGTATTGTGCGATAAACGAATACCCACTAAACTAAAAGGTAAGTTTTATAGAACGGCTATTAGACCAGCTATGTTGTATGGGACGGAGTGTTGGGCAACTAAGAAACAACATGTAGATAAGATGAGTGTGGCTGAGATGAGGATGCTAAGGTGGATGTGTGGTAAGACTAGACAGGACAGGATTAGGAATGAGTGTATTCGGGAATGGGTAGGAGTAGCACCGATAGAAGATAAGTTGAGAGAGAATCGTTTGAGATGGTTTGGTCATATTCAACGGAGACCAACAGAGGCAGTAGTGAAGAGATGCGATGCTGTAACGGTAGATGGAAGTGTTAGGGGACGGGGTAGGCCTAGATTAACGTTGACTAGCGTTATAAATAGAGATATGAATCTACTTAATTTGACTAATGAAATGGCTTTTGATAGGGCCGCGTGGAGAAGAAGGATTCATGTAGCCGACCCCATTTGATGGGACTTAAGGCTTCGTTTGGTTTGGTTTGGTATTTGAGCATGGATCCTCAGCATACTGGACTCCATTTTTGATGGTGTGACATGAAAATGTCTGTCATTTTCCGATATTACTCTCCTAATTGATTTATAGATCTAAAATAGTTTAACGAGCTCCTTTTATGATTCAATTGAGTAATGTAACAAGAACAATCTCTTTAATTGGTTCAGAAAAAATATATATATATATACTCATGATTTAGTCAAAAAGGTTATATCTGATAACCCCATTAAGTTCTTGTGCCTTAAAATTTCCTAGTGGCTTGTGTTTGATAATGCACAATGAACCACCACTTAGAATTGAAATTTTATTTTAAAATAGTTTAAATTCCAAGTCAGGGAGACCTGGTAGAAAGTGATTTTAAATGTAATCTTATTAGACAAATTTATCCTTGAAAATTGCAAATTCAAAAATTCAGTTGGAAGTTTTCTACACCACAAATTCAGCACCAGAATTTTTCAGTAATAAATTCTCAACTTTCCCATAGAGATCACTACTAATGAATGCTTGTTCAAGTATATATACAACTATTAATCAAGCATAAATCAAAATGTGAGAGAATGGCAAATGAAAACTAAAATTTTAAACAGACGAACTAATTGCATGGAATAGGAAAGCTTGGATAAATGCAAACAGTTTTAATCTCATGAAAATCAACAAAACCAAAAGTAGAATCTTGAAATACCTCACATTCACTGTTTGCTGATTTAGTTCTTCTATTTCACTCTTAAAATAAGGAATCTTCATTAGGTCATCATAATCAAAGAGCACCTGATTAAAAAAAGCAAGTCACATAGAGCACCTAGCTGTGAGTTGCACCGATAATGACTTAAGATACTACAAACAAAGAATGAAACCAGAAAAACATGAAAGTTAAATCTAGAAATTCTTCAAGAATCAACAAAATTCATGAAAAACATACCACAGCAAAGATGCATCCGGTACTTCAGAAGTGTCTTATGACAATTTACGCTTTTTAAGTTGTTACTAAATTTGATCTCTTAAATTAGTAGAGCCTATAAAAAAAGAATCCAAGAATTTCAAAGTCGGACAATAAGAACATAAAACACCTCCCTTAAGCCCTCTAGAAATACCACTTAAAAAGTTAGTGAGTGAATTGGATCAATCCAATTCTGACATCATCAGTTACATGTTTTATGTTTCAGCAATCCATTCCCTGTGTATGTCACTGCAAATGTGATGTGTTTGCCTTTATGTACAAGTATAAATTGAAAAGCCTAGCCCACACTTCTCCTTAAAACTCAAGTATTAAGGAGAGGAAAATCGGAGCTTTATAATCAGCACAGATGGGGGAACTCCAAACGATATGAGACACATTCCAACACACCCTCTTGGACCACAATATACAGTAGCGGGACAAACGGCACACCAATCACAAGTCTAACCAAGCTTTGATACCAAATTGAAAAGCCCAATCCCACACTTCTCCTTTCAATTCCAC